GAATAGTAAAGAACAACTCCGAGGAAACCTGGCTGGTTTCAGACCTGGATGTTGATTTTCTGTCAAATAATTCCCGTTTATCAGATTCTGGAACATAGATATACTTTCCGACATCTAATCATAACTATGTTTCTTTATCACAAGGCAGCGCTTGACTCCGTAGATCTGATACTTTTTTTGCCAGAGTCTGTCACTGAAAGGTGTACCAAGAAAGTAAATCAATCTTGTAAAGGCTCTTTATTCATACATTAATAGTTCGATCAAAGATTAAGGCTTGCTGTCATCAGAATAACCAGCTTCAAGAAGTGTTCGTCATGGCTGCCCACCATATCTCATTTAGTTGATTTCGTCATAGACACGTTATTTATCAGAAAATACTAGAAAATAGCCACCTAATAAAAAAAGTCAATAGTTTTCATTCATTAATATCATTTTACCAATCGAAAATGTTACTTTAGTTAGTTTAGTTTAGTTCAACTTATACATACAACTTGAATATCAGTCTAAAAAATAATTAAAAAACTTTTACTGATCTCTAATCAATTAGTTACTTTTACATCTAATTGAATCATTAAAATGTAATCCCTTATCATGAAATGAATGAGGAGTTTTTTTCTTTTTTTTAAACTTGAGATCATTTAAGTAATTTATTATTGATTAACTATAATAATAAGAGATCTAATATCAAATCAATAAAAGCAAATGTATTAAATATTCATTATAATCAATAATAAAATTTTTTTTAATGCTTAAGCCTCTATTGTGTTGGACATAGAATTTAAAGAAACAATTTTACTAATATAGATTATAAAAAAAATCATAGTGGGGGGGGGCAGGAGGAATGTTGTTGTTGTATATTGATGATGATTGTTTTATCTGTATTAAACGTTAATAGTTTAGTTTCTAAAGAAAGAGAATATTTCTGTCTTATAATGAAAAAGCAACTACTAAATATTTCTAAGTACAAAATATCAATGAATAAGATAAATTTATTGATTTCTTAGTTTGTAATTGAAAACTTTCTCACTTTGCTCCTTTCAAAATAATAAACGGAATCGTCTGTAGAATACATAAAAACCGTTCACTTATGTTTTGTATTTCAATAGCTGACTTTTCAAGTTAATTTAACTCCTAATCTAAAAAAGATATCGATTATCATTTTTTTTGTAATTATAATCATCAGCCGATCAATATTAGACTACCAGTTCAGGACCATAGTTCAGTTGAGATTAGATCAGTCCAATAGAGTTCAGGGTTATCACACTACATTCCAGAGTTATTACAAAGTTAATAAATTTACTAGTCGAATCAGTTCTGGAGTCAGTTTAATATTATTCTAACTCCACCTCAGTTCAGTTCCTAATCATTATTCTAGTTCGATTCTATTTACCGTTGTTGTACCCGCTAATTTTGCGTTATTCACTTAGCTACTGAGTTCACATCATGGCACGAGCAGGTGGCTATCTGAACTCAATAGCTAAGTGGATAACGCGGTGACGATTGAAGCAAACGGCTCTGGGTACGAGTCTCGGGTCTGAGATGCAGGTACATCCAGCTGACGAGTCTGAAATCTGATAAAAACGCGCGTCTTGGATTCCACTGTTAGCCACCATTCGCCTTTGCCTACTATGTATTTTTATTATAAACATTAATCTTATTTCCCAGTTATAGTAAAAATAGATTGATGATTTGATAACATCAAATGAAGTCAATTATTTTCTAATTAAATCCTACAATCAATGTTAAACGTTATATCCATCTCAAATGAGATTCTTTTACTAGAAAAATTAAAAAAATTGATTTATGCCTTAATTCTAACAAGTAGTGAACTAAAGTACGTCTGATTTTAACACATTTGCTAATGCTTCCTCGAAGAACCTACCTAACGAGTAAAATAACTTCCAGAGTATATGCATTAGTTAATCAATCTGAATATAAGCATTGGTTATTAATATAATACAAAGTAGAACAACACATATAAACGAAAAATATTGTTTTCATTTAGATCATCATCAGGTTTTACACTGACATACACGGATCTTTATGTCAGTCTAAGAAATATTAAACTAATGAACGCGATTTGAATCAATGATCACACTGAGATGGACTACAGATAATAACTAAAACGTGCGAATTAATAAGAAGAAGACAAGTGGATTAGTAGTAATAAGAATAATCAAATGATGAACGTTTTAATGCAAAGTGAATTGTATTTGGATGGTAGCTTAATCAACAATAAAACAAATTGTTCTTATAAAGAGTAATTAACTGAAAAGTGTTTATACATTTTATCTGTTGTTTTATATTTAAGGTTAATTTAAAAGTAACTTCCATAAGCTAGAACATACCAACCCTTTTATTACGTCAAAATGATCTCAGTTGGCACCTATTATGTACAGTCAAACAAACTTTATTATACGTGGTATTAAATACACAGATACAGTATATGGAAAAAAAGCACAACTCGCTTTCAGTAATGGTACCTCTTTACATTGATGATTGGCTGAAATGTAGTCAAGAATCGAAACTAAAGGCCTACATGGTAATTTCAAAATATCTCGAAATTACTATTGTATTGATTTTTATATCACTCTAATTATTGCACCTCACATATTCAATACTGAAAATCCAATTTCCTGTGCATAAAGCTTTATTACTGATTCAGCTTCTTAATCTAAATGTCGCCAAATGAAAGTCAGGAATTTATGATCAATGCATATCGCAGCTTTACATTTACAAGGGGACTTTCGACTAACTTTAAAGATACTCAAGATTTTATTCACTTAAGAATGAACAAAAGGTTTAGTGATTCTAAACAATTGTAATGAACCTTGTAGGAAATCTATTGATCAATGCACTCACTGAAACTACATATTAAGACACTTTAGATACCATACAGCTTACTTCATGGAGAATTTACGTACGCTTTATGTGGATTTAATATAGATATCTCAAGCCGTTTAATTTAACCTAGCTGTCAATAAATACGAATGATTAAATCATTATTCGGGCTAGTTATTATGAAATCCTAGGAGAAAGTTTAATTAAATCTTCCTCTATCAATATTATTCAAATAAACCTCAATAAATGGTTGGCGGATTACTATTTTCTTTTCAAAAAATATACTAGAAATCTTTGTGGAAACATTTGTTAGGAATTACAAAAACACTAGTTAAACCATCTAGCTCAGAGAACAAAAGACTAGTTACATATTACATAGATAATTGTCAACTTTACAGTTAATTACTTCCATATTTGATTTATGGTGTTTTATAACTATATACATAGAACCATGGATATTTCCCTCCTTTTAATAAAAATAACCACTTAGTGAAAAGTGAGTAAAAAAAATGTCGTAAGAACCATATGAATGAATCAGTTAATCCTTATCTTCTCAACTCTTAAGCATCCCAAACTTGTCATGTACGAGGAATTGTTAAGGTTATAGTTCTATTTTTTTTAAAAATACAATTACTCAACACACGTCAGCTTCATTTTAGATGTAAATTTACCATGATTTTGACGATAACAGTAAGGAGAAACTAATCGGACCAAATTTCAAATCGTCTAACATTCTTCAATTGCAGTTAAAATACTAGAATTAGTTAATATTAAAGACTTCACTCAATTATAAACACGGGACCTAGAAGTAAAAGTTCATTTCTTTTACTTAAATCAAACTAAAATTCATCATTTAGCATTTATACAAAGTTGAAATAAGTGTTATAAGTTGTGAAACCATAATAACATAAAATTAACGATAATATACATAGTTATGGACGTAAAATATCCAGCTACCTAATAAGATTTTTATATATTTAATACATATGAAGAAAATTTCAAGTGCATATTTACCTATCTTAAAAGCTATAAAGCTATCAGGTACATCTGTTTCCTTTCATTTATGAGAGGTACTTTTAAACAAATGAATATACTTAGGGAAAAAATTATTTTTAACAGTATATTTGTATATTTTTCATTCTATATACAAACAACAAAGAAAATTATTAAACATTTAACACTGATTATCAGGACTTTTGTTTCTACCTACTTATTGAATCTTCAAGATATCACACTAATCATAATAACGTACTTCCCATTTCATCATCAATTAAAGCATCGTGTGTTTCAGATTTCTTTTGCAAAGAGGGTGATGATTTTTCCTTCTGCTTAGTAGTTTCCTGATTTTCTGTATTGAGGACTGGAACTGTAAGGCAAACAAAATATCTCTTTTCAGAACATAAGTGAACCCCCCACTGTCCAGAACTATAATCAACAGACGTGCATCTTTGTTCACCAATTCGCATGGAAGTTATTTCTGGATTAGGTAAGCGAATAAGACTGAAATCACTTTTACTACCGTCAACCCAGTGCAAAACATAAATGGGTCTTGTAAACTCATTCATTGTTTTAGTAATTTTACCTCCTATCCAAAATGAATGCTTTTCTTGTTTGGCTACCCACTTTACCAAAGCTAGATTTTCTGGATATGAATGAACGGATGCCAGAGACGTTCGTAGGACCATTCCATCCTTATAACTTTGTGATGGATTGGAGATCAGGTGCTGACGGTCCTGTTTATCTTTTGAATCATCCATGTTATTTGTATCAGATAGCCCTCCAACATATTTACAGTAATGTTCCGCTGCAGAGAAATTAAGTTTTGCATCTACATCACCATGGACAAATGTAAAAATGCGAGGTCCAAGAGCGCCTTGACTTTTTTCCAAAGCATAAGCTGCATTATAGGAAAGAACAAACTGCACAACAAGTAGTAACATAACTTGTGGGTATTCAGCATATGAATTGACGCAAGTGATGAATACAACTCAACTCAATATTTTACAGCCATTACTAAATTCACTATTCTAAGTTTTTTTGAAGATATTATTCTGTAAAATGACTAATCACTTATTTTCTCAAGTGACCTTAACTTTATTCATACTAAATCATGACCTTCAGATTTCGTAGTAGCTTAATATTATACAACGCTACAAAAAATGGGATCTAGTAACAGCACACTTGCTAATGTGTCCAAGGATGAGCCACTACAAAGATTTGTAGGGACTGATGGAATACCACCTAACAGTGAATATTGGAGGGAATTTTTGTCTTCTGTTGGCTCAACAACAAAAAGCAGGTGTGTGAATTTGATTATCAGCTCACCGAACTCTTGATACAAGCTCTCTCATAGACTTTGAAAAAGCAAATAAAAGTTTGCTAAAGGATTTGAAGAAAAATAACTTTCACTCTCGTAACATTCCCAATCTCACGCAATTTCTTATATCAAAGATGTCAGAATTAATAGCCTCACCAGACATGTAGATTTATTTAACAATTATCCTGTATTTTTAGAATCGAAGACACAGTATTAATTGCTCAAAATGGACTACTTATTCTACGTTTATCGGTGAAGTACTTGATGGAGCACTGCTCTGAAGCCAGATTTTTCTCTCACTTCTCTGTTAATTCTCCTGAAGGTATAATTATCTTCAGTCAAACAGTGTTTTCCCTAGGTCCTCATTGTTTGTCTGTAATTGAATGTTTGTTCCCTGTACTTTTCAGGCTCATAACTAATCTGCCTATCCAGTAAGTTCAATTTTACCATTCATTGTTTTCAGAGACAATACTTACTTGTTGCATTGCGAAGCTCATTTGTTGTGTATAGTGTTACTCTCTAGACAAATGTATAAAGAACTATCGGCTCCTCTACCACAAGTCTACGTTTCTGTTGTCTGGGGAAAGTGGTGAGTTTATTATAGACTATTCATATGGTTTTTGTAATTCATCTCATTACCACTAAATTTTATCTCATGCCACATTTATCCGTATCTGCTCTCCCTTCGGCGACACGGATAGTTGGTCCGGTTTCTTCGAAAAGCGCCTAGCAAGAAAGCTGACTTCGCTTATTCTACTTGATAGCCTTAGTGTGCTAACCATTACCAACCTTAATTTATTACATTGTCGCATATGAAAGTTCTCGTAACCTAAGATACCACCAGTCGTGATGAGTTGAACTCCACTCGGCTCATTAGTGTTTAGTTCAGCTCAAGATAGAAAAGTAGGATTGAAAAGTGACTGTTTGGTGCTCTAACCGGTTGCTCTGGTTACCAGAAGGGGCATCAGCCTCGTGACTTCCGAAGGAAATCGGTTTCCATCATGAGGCGTCCTCTCTTCTAAATGAAGACCTTCTGACTCCCATGGCAGAGTTTAATTGGTTTGAATCATTTTTTTCTGGTTAGCGTTTTTTAGCGAGCTAGTTTTCTACGGGATGTGGTCGCTAACCATATTTCCAACCCTCCTCCTTTATTCGGGCTCGGGACCAACATTAGCTCTAAAGGGGCTCCAGGTGGAGTTAAGATTCCGCCTTGCAGTAACATTTTTACTCTCCTTTCCCGAAGCAGTTACTTTAAGTGTCTATCTCTTTTATTATGTATCTTTACAGGAACGCAAGTATTGCACTTCAAAATCAGACCAACTACTTTTTATTGTTAAGCCTGATTGTTTGTTAGTCGTTTCCTTCTTTTTTTGCATTCCAGTGCATCTCTTGCTCCTGCTTTAGTTTACCGATTATTGTCTAACTTTTCTGAAAATCGTCCTGTCCCAACACTTTTACATGGCTTTGAACAATATAGTTTAATATGGCGTGCGGCGTCGTCTATTGCAGGTATGTCTAATCTACTTTACTGCATATATATCTCCCTGGTGGACTATCTTTTCGAAGTTACTTGTTCAGGTACACCAGATTTCATGCTTAGTATTTCCGGATTTAGGGTCATAAATCTGTTCAATGTAGTCACTTGGTAGTGAATAATCGTTGTTAAGATTTGTGTTTACCTAGTTCGATTGTGTACAGATTTTGTGCAGATAGGGCTGGCCATGTCCGACTGCGTCCAAGCTATTGACTTCCGTCATACTTCGTAGGTTGTTCAAAACCCGAGAAATATTGACTCGCGAGGAGCAGGCTGGGTTTCGTTCTGGTTGAGTATGTATTGATCATATCTTTACCCTCCGCCAAATGTTAGAACACCGTCATACTTATCAAAGGCCAAAAATTGTAGTGTTTCTTGACATCAGGGCTGTCTTCGATTCGTTGGATAGGACTGTTCTCTGGGATTGTCTATTGAAGAAGGGTGTGCCTGAGAAGTTTATTAACATCTTAAAGGCCCTATATACAAGCACTTCAGGTAGAGTGAGGGCATACAACCTTCTCTCTCCATCGTTCCATTCGAGCAGTGTGGCTAGATAGGGTTGCCCAGTCTCACCATTCCTCTTCAACTTTGCCATCGTTGGCATTCTGGAAACAGCTCTGATGAATGTAAGTAATGGTGGTGTGGATCTGTTGCCTGGAGAAAAACCTCTCGACCTTGAGTATGTGAACCATGTTGTCTTACTGTGCGATAATGCCCGAGGCATGCAATCCGCACTTAATCAGTTGGCAATCGGTGTCCGTAGATATGGTATGTGCTTTGCACCTTCGAAGTGCAAAGTACTTCTACAAGACTGGCAGGATTCTAATCCTGTACTCACTCTGGATGGTGAGCAGATAGAAGTAGTCGAGAAGTTGGTGTATCTAGGTAGCTGCATAAGTGCTGGTGGTGGCGTGAGTGATGAGATCAATGCTCGTATATTGAAAGCCAGAGGGGTTTATACCAATCTGGGCTATCTTTAGCACCTTCGTGATGTCAGTCTGGCTGTAAAAGGTCGCATCTACAACGCGTCGGTGAGAGCAGTTTTGCTCTATGCTTGTGAAACGTGGCCTCTTCGAGTTGAGGACGTTAGACGACTCTGTGTTTGATCACCGGTGTATCCTAAGGATTGCTGACATCCAGTGGCAACACCGTGTCAGTAATGCAGAGGTTTGTCATCGTGTGTTCGTGTGCAGAGACGATAATGCAATTGGTGTCACTTTCTTGAAACACCGACTTCGGTGGCTTTGACATATTCTACGAATATTGTCCCAGAGAATTCATCTTCGTGCATTATTTGCAGGCGCTGGGACTGGTTGGAAGAAGCGGAGAGGTGGTCAGTGTATGACATGGTGTCGTAGTATGAAAGAACGATTTAAAAGGATGGCTTGTGTTGGTCCTTCACGACTTCCTGGTTGGGGTCTGAGAGATGGTGCTACACAGTGGCTAGAGACGTTACCATATATGTCTCAGAATAGAAGCCAGTGACGATCCTGCTGTAACCTTCTTTACTTTCTTCATAAAAAGTGGTTGTAACTTCCTTAACTACAAGTATTATTTTTGGTCGTACCTTACTGTTTCCCTATTATTATTATTATTATTATTATTATTATTATTATTATTATTATTATTATTATTATTATTATTACACTACCATACACTAAACCGTGGTCGTTATTGTTCTCTTATTTTCCTTCTCTCTTATACGTACCGTACACCTCTTTCTCTTCCCATTCTCATTGTTATTGCTGGCACATATATATATCTGGTACCAATATTTATGTGTTCAAATAAATAATAAATAAATAAAAGCTGACAAGCTTCTGATGAAATAAGCGATGTTTAGGCAATGGTTGTCGGACCCAAATATATTCGGCTGACTTTATTCACCCATCGAGTTAGTAGCAGTAGTTGTGTTTAATGATGTACCATAGTGAATTGTGCGCTATTATTGAAATTCATCTGTCTTCTTAATTTTAGGTAGTTTAGTTACAATCGTCACATTTGGTGGTTACTTTAGTCGCACTGCCAATAGTTCAACAAAATCAGATATACAGAACAGTCCGCATGTTGCAGTTGTTGAACCAGTAAAAAATAATGTTTCCACAGATCTTTTAACATCAGAATCAACTATCAAATCAAACGAACAGTGTCATCTATTGTCAAATGTCAGCTCACTACTTTTATTGATACTTACTACTCAGGCTGGATCTATTGAGAAGACTGTATCAACTTATTCAGAAAATAATATTAAAGATTCGAATTCTTTAGGCCGAAATCCATATCGAACAACACTTTTTTCTTTACAAGATGAAGTTACTCAAAAAAACCAAGTTGATTCAATAATGGATACAACTCACGTGCTGCCAAAGTCAAGTTAGTCTTAAGCATTAAGGCTTTTGTGCACAAGTTCACTCACTATTATTCCTTTTTATAATTATAAATAACACTAATGCTTGATTTTAATATTTATCAACACTTTAACTTCTACGAAGGTGAATTTAATGTTAATCGATAGATGAAAAGAAACATAAAAGCCTTCGGTTATTTATTTTTCCACCAAAGAACTTTATGTATTGATTTCAGGTTATATAGCCAAAGTAATCTGATACGAATACGTTAAAGTACTGATTCGCTGTTCTGATTAAAGTTAAAGAGACCGATTTCGATAATAAACTGTAGGCTATGCATATGCAGCTGCACTATTATGAATATTTTTATTTTCGAATAAGTATTTTATTTTAAGTTTTATGTGATATCAGAGGTTTTTAAGATATTGTTACTGGATTGTTTTTCAAAGTAATTAAAGTGTTAGCCAAGCTGGAAGGAACCAGACAACTAATGCTTATTACAACTTGAATGATAATAATAATAATAATAATAATAATAATAATAATAATAATAATAATAATAATAATAATAGAAGTCAGAGTCTTTGGTGCACCCTGATAAAATCACAAAATTCAACTGGAATAGCTCTTGATCTCTTTGCGGTTTCAATTACTCTGCAACTGAAGATCATTAACGTGTTCATGTTACTGTCTATTCCACAGTGAGTAACTTCGTATATCTCATTAGACTTACTATCGACATATATTCAAATTATCAGTATAAGGTTGTGCAGATCGTTGAGTTTAGATTCGTATAATGTGTGGATCAATGTTAGACCACCATTGAAAACCTAGAAGCAATGGACAGTCGTTTCGTTCTCATATTGGACTCCTCGGCAGTGCGCATTCACGATCCCGCACGTAGAATGAGAACCCAGGACCTTCGATCTCGCGCATGAACGCTTGAACACTAGATTGAGCCGGCATCCAACAGTGTTAATGTCTAGCTTCAACCAATCCACGAAAGCGCGCAACCGTTCATCATTGTCTTCAGTGAGTAACAGCCTCAAAACATACAGTTGAACTCCATTGGTCACGGCTTCTCACTAGCAGGAAACCCATCGTAAAGCCGGTCACTATTGATCACATGATTCATATTACTTTAAGAAATTGAGATAAAAGTTAAGGTATGGAAAATAAATTTCAAATGTATTAAATATTCTCATCGAAACATTAAAACGATAAGTTGAGGAAAGAAATATTTCTTTCAATTGGTTCTTCGTTAGGGCTCTGCTCTAATATATGGGTTTTATAAATTAGTGGAAAATGGATACCAATTATATTTCAAGCGAGCAAATTCAACTAAACAAACTTGTACAATGCAAGTTTTCCGTGAGGTGTAGTGGAAGAAGAATTAATGGTTGACTCGGTTGTATGTATACACGAAATAACCGAAGGACAATATAGACAAACGTACATATGGTAAAATGTTACGATCAATTGTATATGAACGTATACTATCCAATAAAGTTACTATTACAAATGCAACGGTCACACGTTTATATCTGTCCACACAACTGCTTGTTTTACTGTCATATAAATTCGTGATAAGATTGTAGATTTGAATAAATATTTATTGCATACCAAGTATGTTGAGCGGCTTCATTCGTCTTGTATATGTTATTTGTACTTCAGCCCCTCGATTACAGCCAGGTGGTGCTACATTAAATGGACATTTAAACATAGTTACTCAATCATCATCACCACAAATAAATTTCACTGCTATCTGTGATACAGCAGCTTCGACATTGTCTCAGGATAGTAGCCCACTGTTATTGTACCTTTTAGTTCATCGAAATACAAACTTTCATTCGTTCATTATGCAAGAGCGGGGTTATGAGAAAGTGGTAAGAAGTCATTTTTTATATCGTTTGTGCTACAAAACACCAACATAACGATTAATTCTGTTTCATATGCTATTGTTAGTTTCAAAGTGACTTACATTATCATTGCGATTGTAAGTGGAACAAAATTATTTGTAAAACATTACATGTAATTAGTTTATTTGGAACCATTATATAATAAATATCGTATCTAGCAGACAACTATATGAGGTTAGATGTTATTGGGATGAATTGTGGAGTATTCATACTCTCATAGCATATACTCTACCACCGTATGGTAGTTTGGATGTTGTTGGAACCAAAGTTTTTATAAGAATTATTTGTATTACAAAACATCTCAAAACATATACTCATACGCAATTCTATAGTACTGTTTCTAAAATAACTATTAAGTGATACGTCGTTTATCAACCATGGAGTTGTGGCTTAGTGGTTAAGGTGTTCGACTTGCTACCGCTAAGTCTCAGGCTCCAACGCCCTCTTCACCTACTTCGGCTTGGTTGATCGGGAAATATCAGTAGTTTTCATACCTAAAGTCTGGCTCATACTCCAGTACTTGGTGAATGATTTAGTTCCATTATGGCCTATATGTTGATGCTTAGACGAATGCTAGGATTAACATTAGTTTTGTTAGCTTTTTGATACGGTATACTATCGCTCATATCGGCAGGTAACTCGATCCAATTAATGTACTATTTCTTCTGTCCCAAACATCTTAGTTATTGGTAACTTACTGACCGGCAAACATGTCCCTTATTCAACTAAAGATTAAATTTAGCAAGTTTTATTATTTGAACAGATATCGTATGATTAAGCTAGCCATCGAACCACCTGTCCTTTCAAATTAAGAAGTTTCAGCACTGATGGTAAGCATATGGACTGGTTCGAAAGGATATACACCCGACCGTTGTTGCTACCTTGACGTGTAATCTATTTGGGTCCAACGTTGGGACGAATTAGGGGGTCGCCATGTTAAAAGATGTTTTTCCTTATGCTTAAAGTTAGTATTTGCAAGGAACAGGCGGTTATCTGAGCATAGCTGCAACAGACGGTCGCCATTATCTGTTCTTTGAGCCACAATGCTATAAGATCCACCCAAGTGTCTTTCCCTATCGCTTAGTTTACCTACTTGAGCATTAAAGTCACCGGCCACTATTACTACATTCGAGCGCCTAGCTTTTAGGAGGAGGTCGGAGAGCTTTCTGTAAAACTCACCTTTTACATCATCTGTGCTGCAGTCAGTGGGAGAATAGGCAACATGGACCGATGCATAAATGTGGCTGGTCCTACGTTGTAGCTGACTGAATGAAATGATATACTAATAAATAATATTCTCAATAATTTGAATGTGTTTTGTTTGTCAGTTATGAAAGTAAAATCTTGTTCTATGTACATTACCATTTCCTTTGTTAATTTATTTTCAGCTTCCACCATTATTAAATATTCTATATAAATCCCAATCACATAATTCACATCTTGTCTACATGGCATTAATTCTGTTGTTGATATTTACGGAAAATGAACAATTTGGACGCGATATTCACACATCAGTGAGTTATTTATTTAAAACACAATTATATAGACGAAGAATATTCTTTTCAATAGTTTCTCATCAGGTTCTTGTTATAACTTGTGGCCTGAGTGCCCTGTTAATGTATAACGTAACGATACCGCCAATTAGACAGCAGTAAATTATCGATCGGACCAATGACGCGTAAGACTCGTGCGACCAGTCTAGAGTCCTTATTGGTCCTGCTTTCCGCCTAGCCCAGCCAGTTATGTCCAGAACACCAGTCTCAGCCTCTGCAATATGAATCGTTTATTTCAAACATACTGGGTTTATATACCAATCAGACAGACCACATCGTACCATAAAATGGAAAATAACATTTGTACAATATTTTGCCAAATGTGGCTGTGAAGGTGGGAGGCAGTGACTTATAGACAGGGCATAATTCAAGAATGGAAAAACGTATAATAACAGTTTATAGGTTAAAATAAAGCTTATGATAAGAGAGACATGAATATGAATAGTTTAGTTAATTAACAATTATACGATAAAAGTATACGCATTTTATCGGTTCACAAATGGATCCCAAAAATTACCATTTATTAGGCTTATCGGGACCTAACAGTTCTACAATTATAAATCCAAATTAATAATCCATTAAATTGGCCATATTTAAGGCAGCGTATGCCATTTAAAATTGTAATATGTGAATCAAGAATTGTTGTTTGTCATACAAAATCAAATCAAATCGTTACTTATATATTTATTTAAACACATAAACACTGGTACAAGGAGGCACCAAATAGATATGAGTCACATGAATCATTCGATTTATGTGAGTGCTGAGATACTGCCCGGGTGCCCTAACTGAAGTAGGTGGTTTTGTTAGGGGGACACACCCAAAGCCTTCGACCTAAAGGTCCGATCCACGAGGCAGTGGAGCAACGTCAGGAGATGCAGTTCCATGGTAGCTGGTGACCAACAGTTGGTCCATACGCTATTTGTTCCGTCAGGATACTGGAGCCCATGTGCACGATTGGTTTGGAATCAGGGTTTTCCAACTCCCCCAGGCGGACTCTCCGTGAACGCCAACCCAGTTAAGGCGCTATACATTCTCTTTTCGTCTTCTTAATTTCGTAAAGAACATTAGTGTCTCGAGAAGGCAGTGAGTGGGACTTCCCTGGTAGTGGTCGTATGCACATGGTCATGTGATAGCATTTGGAGAGGGACAGTTGACTCTCCACTCTCGATCATACCAGGGCATTTGGGGGCCCTGGTCAATTTATTTATGTGACCAGTTACCGTAATAGTTTTGAATCTCTCTGATGAGTAATTACGTTGATTGTTTAGTTTGGACTGAAAACATAGTAAGGGGTTTATGTTCGTAATATTTAATTACTCCCGGTAAGTTGGTTTTCGTAATGAGATGTTTAAATATCTGAAGTTAATAATTCCTTATTTAACTTTTGACTGCTTCTGTTCTTGTTGTAATTAGACTGATAATTTCATCATTAAGAAATGAGTATTCAATCAGGAATTGTTACTAACTGTTATTCTCTTTAAAACTTTATTAGCCATCTCATTGTTAAGTAATTTATAAATTTTACTCATGTTTCATTACAAATGTTTTAAATTAATAAAAATTGTCGACTAAGTCGATAAAAGTGCCTCTTAGAATCAGATGTTGAATGTTGTTGAACTTTTTAGTCATGTATAATTGATAAGAAAAAAATTCCCTTTACTTAATTCCTAGGTTGTAGGTATCGTAGAAAAATAGTGCTTTTGAGTAGAATATTCTTTAACGTGAGATTATAAACCTCTTTCAAGTGAAAATACACTGTATTTACACTGTCGTGAAATATTTTCCATCTCCGTTTCTAATTTGATTGGTTGTTCATTTGATATACAAAAATATTGGACTCACGTCTTTTATTTCGTATAATTGAATTATCGGCCAAGGTGTGCTGGAAGCTACTGAATTAACATATAAAAAGTCTGTAGGAAGTTTTCTAAATACGTATTTTAAGGTGACCCAACTGCTTGGTTATTTTTTTCGAACTAGAGGCACTTTGGACCCAGGCTCCTGAGCTTCACTTTTTTATTAATTTCTCAGCAGATCTACATCTGAAATATTTGACTTTCAAATATTGGTTAGTGAGTTCGACCGTTCTCCACGCGCGTGAACGCTTAACCACTGAACCTGCATCCCACGGTGTTAATGTCTATCTTCAACCAATCCACATAAATCTGTGCTTGACAAATGAATTCCATTGTATCTACATGATTATTTATCATTCTAAATTACTTATTTTTGTGTGTTATGGTGGAAAAGATCCTCAAAAGCCGTATTCGGAATTTTTATGTTAAAATTGTTGTAGGTGCTCAAAACAAGTGATTAGTTAGTTTTAGGTACCAATACCATGGTGTAAATTAAGCACTAGGTAGAGTATTAATAATAAAATAATGATATATTTTTGGTACCGCTATGAGTAAAAATTCGGGTTTCTGACGTTTAGCAACTTAGTTTAAGTTGCTTTTTCAGAGATTAAGTAAACAAACAACCGAAATAAAATTGGTCAGTTGTATACTTATTCTCCCATATAATAAAACCACCTAAGAAATTGTGTTTCGTTTTTGTATAGTACTCCAAACTAGACCAGCGGCCTGCTTGAGTATCTGGACAACTCGTTCCTGCAATCTAGATATTTCAACAAGTTGTGTTTCTTTGTTCATTTTAACACATCATTATGCCTAATAGTCTCATAACCTATTCAGGTGCGTTTGTGAAAAGTTTAACATTTCACTGTACAAGTTACATTATGGTCGCTGGCAATTTGCAGAGAAAAGAATTTACATTATTCTGCTAACTTGCAACTGGTTGACCATTCAATATTTGTCGCCAGGATCGACCAAGAAGTAAGAAACGAAAACTTGCTGAAGTACTTTGTGCAGATAATTATGTATTGTACCAAAAGTATAATATTGAATAAAGCTAATAATAATAAAATTAGAAATATACACGGTGACCACGTGTCATAATTGTGTTACGGCCTACTGACTATTATGGTCTTTTGAAAGATGACTGGGAGGGGTCAAACCATGATGTTTCATCAATCATTGACTATTTAAATGACCTACTTAAGTACCTATGGTCTCCTTTTGTTTGTTCAAAATGCTACCCATATTCTGACGTTTTTCCGTTCTATGCGTACACTTTTGTATTAATTAATAAATGTTATTTTCTCTTCTTGCTGTTATCTACTGTTTCGTCAACTATCCAACTTCTCTTTTTAAGGATATTAAATGGGTTCAGTGGTCAACAAGTCGTCGACTTTCGAATGTTTCATATGGAAGCTTAACTGTATTAGTTCTTTGTCGTACCATTCAATACCATTTGAACCAATTGAAGGTAAGATACATTCTTTTTTCGGAATTTCTTTACATCTGTTTCATTTATGAGCTTTCTGAAGTCCGTCGCTGTCAAAAATGCATAATTACTTCCATAGCTTTATATAATAATTGAATAGAAATTCAATTTGTAGAATATTTATTCAGTGTCATTTATCATGTTTAGTTCACCAGTTGGATTAATTTTCTCAGGAATTAGTGTTTTTTTATGGTCGAATAAGGTAGCTTCACATTTAGGTATATAGGCATCTTTCATCAATACTAAACTGCTACATCAGAACGTTTGTTTCAAGTGGCTTAATTTCTTCCTTATTTCCCCTTGGGTTGTTTGTTGCATTATCTTATTTGTGCACTCCATACACTCGTACTTGTTTCATATTGAGCGTTCTTAGTATGTGCTTAATTAATGAATAAGTAAATTATCTATGATACTCTTTAGATTAAACCTTTAAACTACGAATTCAAAAGCAATACAAAACAAATGAGTATAATCTCTGGTATTTTCGCTGAATATCTTGTCACATCATGTCTTCGTCTGTATTGTACCAATTATCATTTTTAATTGTATAATAGGATTGTACGTTTTTGACGTATTGTAGGCATAACTTCGATTTCTAACTAGTCTCATCATCCATCGTTTTCATAATTAGCAGTTGAAACTATTTACATGACTTCGTATTGTGTTATGATATTTATTGACTATCTTTTTCTTTGTGTACATGATTATCTTTTTAGATGGTAATCAAGAAGTTATTTTAAAATTTATTTTTATCTGTTTGATATGAATTAAAATTTTAAAAAACTTCAACATTCAACTGTAAACTATAAGTAAATGTTATTCTTTATTAATTAGGACAAATACCTTCATGTTAATATCTTGGCAACTCTAGCAAACTTATCCCCCCGAATTACTAAACTTCATCCTCATGCATGTGATACACTAGTTGGGTAAGTAATTTTACATAATCATTTTTTTTACACCTTAGATGTAGTTATTAATTTTTTAAAAAAATTACAATTATTCAGATTGTTTAGTTTTCATGAAACATACATAGTACCTTTGAATCTTATCACGATTTCACTTTTCTCTCAAATAATATCTGTCGTTATTATCGTAACTATAAATTGCTTTATTAATACATAATACGATATAATATAACTACTCACTACACTTTCTTATGTGTCCTCTAAACAATTAATTGCCAAATATTTTCGTAGTTTAAAATCTTAGTTGGACTAACATTGAGAATTAGGGACTATTGTGATGTCGTTTATTCGTAATATGGGATTCATCGACAGTGCAGATCCAGGATTCTGCTTTAGAAAGTCGAATCCAGGACCTTCAATTTCACACACGAATGCCTAATCTCATAACCACTAGACTCTCGTCAATTCACGATATTGTGTGATCATCTTCCATTGTGTATGCCAGCGACCATACCACGTTGAAAGCACCACTTCTCGTCCGATCACCTCAGTTAAGCAACGTTGAGCCCGGTCAGTACTTGCATGGGTGACCGGCTGGGAATACCGGGTGTCGCCGGCTTTTAACAACCCACACACACACACGCCCCCAAATGCCCTAGTACGGCCGAGAGTGGGGAGAGTCCACTCTCTCTCTCTCGAAATACTCTCACATGTCCACACGTATATAGCCTCTGCCAGGGGAGTTCTACTCACTGCCTTCTCGCGGCGGGGGTGTTTACCAAAATAAGAAGACGAAAAGCGAATGTCCGGCGCTTTAACCGGATTCCAAACCAATGGCGCACATGGGCTCCAGTATCCTGCGGGAACAAATGGCGTATGAACCAATCGTTAGTCACCGGCTTACATGGTACTGCATCTCCTTACGATGCTCTACTGCCTTGTGGGTTAGACTTTCAGGTCGAAGGCTCGGGGTGTGGTCCCCTAAGAAAACCACCTGTTTCGGTTTGGGCACCCGGGCAGTATCACAGCCCCCATACATGTCGAATTAGATTTGTGTTCCGCATATGTATTTGGTGCTTCCTTGTACCAATATCTATATGTTAAAATAAATAAATAAATAATTCCATTGCGTATTGTGGATCACTGTCTCGCGACCGTTATTGTTACCTTGACGTGGTGGTCGGGCCTGTCTATCGTGATGAAGCAACCAAGCTATACTGGCTGGAACAACCGTTCCTCAAGGTCTTACCATGTCAGACAGGTCGGTTGAAGAGCGGTAAGACTAAAAGCAACAAACCTAATGTTCGAAGGTGAAGTCGTACTGCTGACTGTGTAGAGGTGTGACGGCAGTAAGGTGTTTCCTTTAGACAACCAGCATAACAGCGATGCTGCCTTCCTACACGGAGGGGTGGGGTTAGAAAAGGTCGACTTTGAAAATGCGCACCTCGTCTTATCCCACGGATATCCGTCTCCGAAGGTAACGTCTCAACAAGTACGGAGCTAACACAAAAATCACCCATATAAAGGTCGTGTGTGACCGACCTCAAGCATTTGTCCCTTGGGCACTGTGGTAACGCTCTCAAGTCACTAGGACCACCTCTAATCGGATTTCCTTTTCAGGTACCTCCAGAAGAACCCTTCCACGGTGTGGGCAACCGGGAAGTAATAATCGCCCTCAAACCTGTAACAGCACTCAAGACCACTGTATTCATAATCAACTTCCCTCTTCAATTCCTATTAGTGCTTTGAAGAAAGTGTGTAATTTTCGTAGGTAAAGTCTCTTTAAGTTTCATACGGATTCGCTCATCTTTTTTGTGTTTTTTGCCGTACTTTTAAGGACCTCATTACTCAATAGCTCCTTGTTTAATCCGTTCTTCGTTGGTCTCTCTCAATAAATATTCACAGAAATGTTTGTTTTTTGGATAAGCTGAAGTCAGAGGAAAAAAGAATTCAATATTTATTATATTTGAATCATATCTAAGAGGTGCTCATTATTCTTTTATTATAGTTATCAGCACTTTGATCATTTCACAAATTAACATATTTCAAAGCATTCAGAAAAATACATTAACATTAAGAATAAATTTACTAGGCTATAATGATTTTACTGGTTAGTAAATCGGGGTTACTGCGGAAATCTGTTGTGATGTGTGGACTGCAGGTTTTGATAAGCAGCGTATATATCGATCGGATTAGTGACATGTAAACACGTAATGAACGACCTAGAGTCCCGATTGGCCCTGCTTCCCTGTCTAGCCCAGCCAGTTGAGTTCAGAACGCAAGTCACAGCCTCTCAGATATGAATCACTGTATTTCAGACATACTCTGTTTATATACCAAACAAACAAACCACATCGTACCACAAAATAGAAAACAACATTTACACAATATTTAACAAGTGAAACAAATATCGACCAATAGGAAATGTCCATTTAACGTCCAAGGACACCATTCGACTTTACACGATAATTATTGGTATATTCCTCTGCATACCTAACAAAATCAATCAAGATAATGTGCTACGTGAAATTTGCAAGGAATGTTGCATTACATGTATGACTTTCATCATTTCCAACGCTGGAAATTAAACCCATTATTTCTTCTATATCAGTAGATGGTTATTCTATTGACTTCTAAATTCAATGATGTCTTCTTGTTTGTATATTTTCAGTTTACTGCAATTATTGATCAAGCGTCATAATAAAACGGTGGACATTTTGCGTAAAATGTCTGATGACAACCAATCACAATCGGCTGCCGAAATCACTAAACTTTTATCAAATACATCACTTATATCATCTGATACACAGGAAGAAATGGTTCGTTTTTGTTGTTTTATGATATGAAAATATGGTTAATGAGAGTATTGTTCAGGTGGTCGTGGCACCGTATATTATGTCACATTCGTTGATTTCATAAACTTTTGATCCTTTCTGTTGTGACTTTATGTCCGGCTAGTTACCACATGATTTATCCGCTGATGAAAATACGACTTATACAGTCTTAGCACGGTGCCAAAGCAATGACGTTCAACCGGTATGAGCAGCCTAGCGTCCTTATTGGTTCTATGTTCGCCTAGCCCGTCCAGTTGAGTCCAGAACACCAATACCAGCTTCTAGTATGCGAATCGAATCGAATCATTTATTTCAGACATACTGGGTCTATATATCAAACAAACAAACCGCAACGCACCATAAAATAAGAAATAACATTTGTACACAATAAGGCCAAAAAGTGGTTGTGAACGTGGGAGGAAGTAGTCAATAAACTGAACATAGCTTAAGAACAGTAAATCGTACAAAAATAACTTATAGAACAAAATAAAGCTAATGATAAGAGGAATATAAATATACATAATCTAGTTACTGAATATTTATACCATGAGGATATATAAATAATATTAGTCCATTAATAGGTCTCAGACGTTACTCGTAATGTAATCTTCACTAGGATATAACACTTTCTATGTTTACTCATTATTTTCATGTAATTATCTTACGAGTAGTAGTGTTATAACCTTTGCTTCGTATAGGGCTTTGTTACTGAACGTGCGTAGAAAATACTAGTTTCTATGTGATGATGCACATTTTAACATTTCCCACATATAATTTTATTCAACATATTCGTAGTTTTGCTTAGTTACAGAACAGGAATAATCATCTACTAATATCCTTAACAGTAGTAAGTTGAAATATCAGTTTCGCTGAAGGTCTGACCTTGTTAAGTCGTTTAGAATTCAAAGAATAAACGTTTGTATCTTCTTAAAGTACAAATAAAGCTGATCAAATTTCTTCACAAAATTACTGATTTCGTATTTGTGTTTTAAAATGAATTTCATCATTTAACCTCCTGTATTTATAGTTCAACGTGTGTAATGAAGGTCTTTGTTTAATTCCTTACAGCAAAACAATTAATATTAACTTAACGTTCATTTGAAAATTACCTATCACAGACGGGTTTTGTCTATCTCTAATATTTTTTTAGTTGTTACCCTCGTTACGATAACCTACGATCAATATCTGTTTTTTGTTGTAGGTTCAAGAATTAGCCTTACTTGAAGAAGTAATTCGAATGCTGTTAGAAATTATTAATTCAATTCTTACACATACGATGGTGTCGAATCCAGATTTAATTTATTCTCTTTTGTATAAAAGGGATTCATTTACATCACTTCGTTCACATCCATCGTTTCAGGTTAGAGTTGTTCATGTAATTGAATTTTCCATTACCTTTATCTTTAATCATTTTCAGGTAATATAGTAGTGACTGTTACGAAAGAACTACTCAAAAAACACTTACATAAACCCATCCCAAAAAATCAAAATGTGACAAATGCTCACTGTTCTAGTCAACTTTAATTTCTTCAATAATCTGACCATCAAATTTGCTTATTAGAACAAATTTGTTTCGACACTGAAATTAAGCGATAGACTTACTTCTGCGATATTTCAATACTGGCAACACAATTTTTCACAATACGTAATTATGTAATTAATTTAAAAGCAGATGCATAGACCGTTTTTCTTTGTAACTATAAACGTAGAATTGGAACTGGTGTGCCTGGGATAGTAGGTTGTAAAAGGAATAACCTACGCCTGTTATCCCTCATGGAGGAGCATAGGCCGCTCTCCAGCATTCTCCATACAACTATGTCCTGGGCAACCCTTCCCAGTTGCTATTCATCCTTTTCATGTCTGTTTCGAATTCTCGACGTAGTGTGTTCTTTGGTCTTCCTCTTTTCAGTTTCCATTCAGGGTTCCAAGTTAGCACATTTCTAGTAATACGGTTTGATGATTTCCATGATGTATGTCATATTCATTTCCATCGTCTTTTCCTAATTTCCTCTTCAGATGGGAGCTGGTTTCTTCTCTCCCACAATAGGTTGTTGCTGATGGTATCCGGCCAACAGATATTGAGTATCTTGCTTAGACAATTTTTATAAATACTTGTAGATGTTTGATGATGGCTGTAGTAGTTCTCCACGTTTCAGCTTCGTACAGTAGGACTGACTGTCTTGACATTCGTATTGAAGATTCAGACTTTAAAATTGGTTGGCAGTTGTTTTGAGTTCTATATGTTCCTCAATTGTAGGAATACTACCTCTGCTTCTCCAAACCTTGTCCTTACGTCTGCATCAGATCCGCACTGTTCATCGATGGTGCTGACCAGATACGTGAAAGTTTCCACGTGTTCCAGAGCTTCTCCTTCAAAAATGATTGAGTTGAATAGCAACTGGGAAGGATTTTCCAGGACAGAGGTGGATGAAAAATACTGATGGCCGGCCTATACTCTAACACAAGGTATAACGGGCGTAAATAATTAGGTAATGCTGCATAGGACTGACTAACGTTTTCACTGTATTAAAACTCATATGATTAGTATCTGAATATTGCATTTTATCTAAACAAGCACCTACCTCGTTATCAGTAGTAGCATGGCCAATCGAGTCCCTCTATTCCAACTTCACTAATGATTATTATTCTTTGATTTAATGGTCTAGATATTAATTACTTTTCATCTTTCTAATGATAAACTCGCTTATATCCGTGTTTCTTATTGATAAAAAGATTCAAGTATCTGTACTAGTTGTTTAATTCCAATATAACATCATAATATGTATTTCATAATTTTGAAATTTCAGAATGTGGTACAAAACATTGATATTGTTTTAACTCATTTTTCAAAAAAAATTGAATTAGAATTAGGACCTCAACCAACTCAACCACAAGCTGTTATGCAAGTGATTATAAAACATGTTGGTAATACTCAAAGAAGTTGTAATCTGAAAGTAATTTAACAAATATTATCGATTATCCTTGTAAAATTTATAATTTTTCACGTTTTTTAATCTTTGTCTACTTTAAATAATAACAAAATTGATGACAGGAAGTGAAAAGTAGAAACAGATGGTTAACAATAAACGAAATTCTGGATTTTTATACAATTCACTGTTACCAATGAAAGTTGCTTTTTCTGATCACAACTAGTAGTTGCCTACGTAATTCATTGAGTATCTGTTGTAAATCTGTCGTAACTATACAACTATCTCATTTTTAAGAACTTTCGTACAAATTTAAATGATTAGTTTCACAATATTTAGGCGCTTAGTTGACGGAAGACATTAAGGATAAAGAACATATTTGTAAAATGTCAGCTCAAACTACAGTTGAGCGTCGACGGTGTGTTTATTTAATGAGAAAATGGTTATAAGATAGAAAATAGTATTAACGGTGGTTTGTTTATGAATTCTATTCACAGTATTTAAAGCGAATTTCTTGTATGAACTATATATTTGCTTGTTAGCATTAAATACTTGTAGTATGTGTTCAGAATAAAATCTCGTGTTTCAGAAATAGACTGTCGATTATATTCGTTTTTTTGGTTCTATGGAACTTTAAATCCTTTCATCCACCCAGATCCCTTAATAAATGTATACAGAGCAAGAATAACAAGGTTTAAAAAATAAAATGAATTCATTCTCTTTCACGGTTTTTCATCAGTTGCATGCAACCTAAAACTAAGATTATTAATGTAATTATTAGCATACTTTATTAGCATAATTTAGTGTGTGAAATTTAAGTAAATGTTCGGTATGTTACTAAAATCATTTGACCCAAAGTGTATGAAGAAACATAGTTAAGATCAACGTGTATCACTATACTGTAAAGTAATAATGGAGAATAGAACAAATGTTATAGTTCTTAATAATCATAATCAGGATAATATATGTTTTGAAAGTGATGAAATTAGTGTCTAGATAATTAAACAACAGGATAAAATAAACAAGTATGTGAATATCAATAAGGTTGTGTGATAGATGAATTTCAGAAGACGAAGGAATATTAAAGATAAAAAGCTTGTGGACAGGGTTGAATAAACGAACTTCATAGAAGTTATAAGATAAGTATCCAATCATAATGGCAGGGAAAGGTTACTCACCCTTTCCTGTTGTATATATAGATCAGGTCGAAAACGTTTGAAAGCGATTGCCTCAGCCAAACGGAATAAAATCGCTGTTTTCTATTCGTTTATTATATTAGATCCATTACCCACATTCACGTCATGTCCACTATATGCATTAGGTGTCTGGCTATTTCACTTGTAAAGATTTTACTCCCTTTCAGCCATAGGTTCCTGGGAATGTGTTCAGAAAACCTATTAAAGGCCCTTCTCTCTGCCCTTCTTATATACTTACTACTGCTGGTACATGTAAATTCATAAATGTAATTGGATATGACATCGGGAGGATATAGATGTATTTTTGAATGGTGTAAAAACACTTGGTATTGTATAGTGAAACTAATTAGGCAGCAGGAAGACTTCTTTTCAGTGCCGCTGCATCTTTTATCCCCAGTATATAGGTGAGAATTGGAATTGGTTTCACTTGATAATTAGTGATTCATATGCCATAAAACTTGGTTATATCAGTTGTTGTCCACTAACTACTCACGTCATAGACTTATATTAACATATAAAGAAAAGTGTAAGTCACCCTCATAAAGTAATGTCAGTTAGTTTCATGTTCTTTGTATTCCGCTTTTTGTACCCCAGAAATTCCCAGATCTGAAATTTAAATATGTAGAAGAAGAATCCCCAGATGAATTTTTCATACCATACGTTTGGTCTGTTGTACGACGCCAGTCAGGCATACATTTTAAGTCTGAATCGCTATTGTTATTCTCGGCTGCTCCTCAAAACATTCAAAATACAACTGAAAACGACGACATTAGTGAAGACAATGATAGTGTTATGAATAATGGCGAATCAAATCATGAGCAAGTACTGGTATAACCATGTCAAACAAGTTTTTTGAACAACCCTCGTTCTATGAGTGCTTGCTGCTAATTCTGTTGTTAAATGTGTTCAGTGTCATGATTTTGACGATAATGAACTTTTATGAAATTTCCTCTTTCAGCTGTCTGTGATCAATATCATGGTTTCGTTTGAATTTAGTTCTTTTTTTCTTTTCTTCACTTTCAATTTTGTTTCTAGTTACACTTATTGTCTTTTTTTACAAATTTTTCATATTTTATTAAAATAGAAAGTTTTTCCATAAGAATTAGTGTCTGATTTCTACCTTGTGTTGGTTATATCATTAAAAAAGGAAAGGTGAATCTGCTCACTTTCTATTAATTAATTACTACTTATTTATATGAGATCGTAATGCATTTACTTTGCCTTAGAGTCAACACAGTCACGGTGAAACGTTCCTGTTATGGCTTTAAGTTGGGGTCGATTTTTACCCTGTGCTAATTGTTGTGTCCTTGACTGAAGAGATTAGAGAACAGCGTATTTATCGACCAATTACAGTGACACGTAAACACGAACGAACGGCCTACAGTTCTGATTGGTCCTCCTTCCCTGTCCAGCCCGGCCAGTTGAGTCCAGAACACAAGTCACAGCCTCGGAGATATGAATCATTATATTTCAAACATACTTTGTTTATATACCAATCAAGCACACCACATCGTACCATAAAATAGAAAACAACATTTTGTACAATATTCAACAAGTGAACAGATATCGACCAATAGGCAATGTCCATTTAAAGTCCAAGGACACCATTGGACTTAACATGATAATTATTGGTCTATTCCTCTGCATCCACAACAGTTTCCTTGGGAAAATTGAGCCGTTTGATTATTATCATGACTATTCCTCATTACGTTTTGTTCATTAGTGAATTGGGATGTTTACGGACCGTAATATTGGACTGTCTATCTATATGTTCTGTTCTATGCCAAGAATGATGAAAGTTACAAATAGTTTATGATAAGGACAAGTTGAACAAAGAAATATTTTTCTTCAACTAGTTCCTCATCAGGACTCCACACCAATATTTATGTTTTTTTCAAATGAGTAGGAAGTCAGTACCAATTAGTTGGTGATCAGTCAACTTAACAATATAGTAATCAGTTAGCTACACAACGTTTAGAAAATTAAAACTAAAGTGACTTTTCATAATCAGCTGATTATTACAAGTAGTTACATAAGAGTAGGAATAGGAATTGAAACTGGGTTTTTTTCACTGTGAAATTAATGATAAGTAATTAGTACGACGGATGGAGTGGAAGTTAGATAACAAGATTATTAAACTCATTTGTAAAACTTATATTAACGAAGAGCTAGTTGGAAAGAAATATTTCTTTGTTCAGCTTGTCTTTTCAGTGTATCATTGGAAATATTTAATGAAATAATTTGTTCACAGAGATTATGTAAATAAATAAGGTAATATGAGTAGAGTCAAGTCAGGTGACTAAAATGAAATCACAAATAAATCTCAATTAACCAATCAAGATTTCAAGATATTATTCCATTATATATGTATCGGAAGTTGCATAGTGGTTGCCTTATCTATGAGGTAGTTTTGATAATCTATTTACTATACTTCAGTGCACGTTCGTTAGAATTTATCAACTTTACACTTGAACAAATTACAATCAATGATGCAAAATTGTGTGAACATAAGAAAAACGATCGTACGCCCGTTACTTCTAATCGACCGAATCTAATTGTTTTCCAGATTTCTTGAACCCTTTTCTTCAGAGAATAAGGCAGCAAATCGGAGGATGAAGTAGCAGTAAAAATACATGGCATCTGCAAAGAAACGTTTTATGTTGTTACCTAAATCTTATACAGGTCGGTTGGACCATATCTACGAAACATAGACATAACTGCCAACACACGACTGAAGTTGCATTTCTTAACAGTGATGAAACAGTCCGATCCGTTGGTTCGAGTTTTGAGGTATTTTTCATCATTAATAGGTGTACGGAATAAGTGGATGTGGTTTTTAAAGGCTCTTTATATGAACACTTAGTTGAGTCAGAACTTAAAAATGACCTGTCATTAGAATCGTCAGATTCAACTGGTGTTTGCTAATGTTGCCCGCTTTACCGGAAACTTCGAATCTCCTCTGAGGACGGTGAATATATGGGATATGTTTCTGCTCCTCAATTGCTTGAAAACTGGTGTGCATCGTCTTTAAGCATACATTCTTTTACAAATATCTCAAATTCAATTATAGTTTTGATCACTATCATTGGTACTATTATTATTCCCTTTTATTAGTTCATCTCATACTGATTTTTAATGCCAACTTCAGCTAACGCACATTTATGCTAGGCTCTACGTAAATCATAACTGTTGTCACATTCTTGTTTAATAAGCAGTACAGTCCTATTGAATCTACGTCTCATCTAAAGTTTAAAATATAAAAGTGATAGTAGTCTTCCCACTCTTACATAATTCGAATAAAGCAATAACCTATTTATTATTATTAGCCTTATTCAATATTATATTTTTAGTACAACATAGTCTCAGCACAAAAGTATCTCAACAAGTTTCGGTCTCTTACTTCTTGGTCAATTCTGACGACAAATATTGAATGGTCACCAGTTAGAAGTTAGCAGTCCAGGAATTGACATCTGAATAATGTACATTCTTTTCGCTGCATATTGCAAGCAACCACGATGTCTGTGACTGGGTTGTACGATTAATAAGCATAATTATATGTTAAAACAAGCAAAAACAGATAACTTGTTGAAATATCTAGAAGACAGAGACAAGTAGCCCAGATGTTGCATAGTAACTGAAACTGTATCTAGCTAGTGAGTAATAACACTTTTAAAAAAAGTAATTATCAACGAATTTCCGCATACACTTTATTTGACACATTCAAGAGAAATTAGAAATTATCAAATTGAAATACAAATGCTAAACATATATGTTGTATATATACATCATCGTACAAATATTTTACTAGGAAACCTTTTGCAAACTGAACATTTATATATATAGTAAGGGTAAATTACATTTCTACGAATAGTCTCTCTTGACATTATAATGAAAGCACTTATAGTTAAAAATTGCGAAAAAAAAGTTAATAGAAAAATAGGAATGTCTGTTTTCTCAATGTTAAATTCTTTTATTAAAGTAAAAAAAGAAATGCAGCCTCTTCTTGATCTAATTTAGATATTTGTTCAAGATTATTATGTACAACAACAGCGGTATTTGATATTTCACAAACATCTAAATCAGTATTATTGAATATATCTGAATTTCCATCAGTAAATTGATTAGGTCCAAGTGGTTCAGAAAAGTTTAATGTTGGAGGAACATTGATTTCTTTAGAAATATTTTCATAGTCATTTAGTGTAGATTGTGACTTCTGTGAAACAGAGACAGGTCTGGAATAGAAATCGGAAGTAAATTTACCGTTAGTTAGTGTACTGATCAGGTACTTTTCAAATGTATTGATTTAGACATTGGATACATATTAGCATCAATAAAAACTGTTCAGTGGTTTTACCATGTTGAAAATTTTACTGACGGCTTAAAGTTTATGAAGTTGTCTACATTTAAAATTAAATGTAATAGATGTATGATAAAATAAGTAACTGAGACAGATAAACAATTAAATATCTAACCTATGATGATGTATTGTATTAATGGGAATACAAAACATCATTACCAAATGCCCTGGTACGACGAGAGTGGAGAGAGTCAGTTCTCTCTATCTCTCAAAATGCTCTTACATGGCCACGTGCATACAACCACTGACAGGGAAGTCCCACTCACTCCCTTCTCGCAATGAGATGTTGTTTACGAAATTAAGAGGACGAAAAGCGAATGTCCGGCGCTTTAAACGGGTTGGTGGATACGGAAGATTTACCCAGGGGAGTTGGAAAACCCTAATTCCAAACCAATGGTGCACATGGGCTCCAGGATCCCGATTAAACAAATGGCATATGAGCCAATTGTTGGTCACCGGCTACTATCGGACTGCTTCTCCTCACGTTGCCCCACTACCTTGTTGATCAGACCTTTATGTCGAAGGCTTCGGGTGTGGCCTCCTTAAAAGATCACGTGCTTCGGTTTGAGCACCGAGGAAGTATCCCAGTCCTCACACAAATCGAATGACTTATGTGGCACTTATCTGTTTGGTGCCTCCTTGTACCAATGTTTATGTGTTTAAATAACTCATAGTCTAAAAGATAATGCCTCTATCAAATAAAGCTTGTCTGAGTGTTTACGTATGACTAATTACTGATTGGTACCCGACCATAAGTTTTTAATTTATGGAGTAACTGACATTCCACATCAACGTGATTAGTGCGATTCGATCGAACAATTTGAAGTAAACCATAAACATCTACATCGGATTCTATTGTGTTTAGGATTATTTGTTTGATTATTCTGGTTTCTATACTAAAGTATGGTTTGTTTTAAAGATGAGTAAAATTAGTGAACTAATAAACTTACTCAATATTTCCATTAATTTTTGTTTGAATGGGAGGTATATTTTCTTTTTCTAATATTTCACATTTGGAATTATTTAAGAGATAATCTTTTTCATGCTGAGAAGCGCAAGGACTAATTGCAATAGGATTTAAATAAGATGGTAATTGCAAAGTAGTCGATGTAGTTTTTGCTAGAAACTCTTTAAATGTAGGAAGCTTATTTAAAACATCATCAAGAAGACGATAATTTTCAGAATTGTTAGCAAATTGCTGATGATCTGTACAATGTAAATGCTAAAATTAAGAAATAAAATGAAATAACAAAAATTGAAATTACATATTGTTATGCCCCGATAAGCATAATGAATGGTAACTTTGGAATCTATTGATGGACCAATATACAAAACGTATATTTTTATTGTATAATTGTTAATTAACTAAACTATTCATATTCATGTTCCTATTATTATGAGCTTCATTTTGACCTATGAACCGTTATTATACGAATTACCATTCTTGAATTATGCCCTGTCTATTTATTACTACCTCCCACACTCACAGCCATATTTGGCTAAATCTTGTACAAATGTTATTTTCCATTTTATGGTACGACGTGGTCGGTTTAGTTGGTATATAAACCCAGTATGTTTGAAATAAACGATTCATATTGCAGAGGCTGAGATTGCTGTTCTAGACTTAACTGGCTGGGCTAGGCGGAAGGCAGGACCAATAAGGACTCTAGACTGGTCGCACGGGTCTTACGCGTCATTGGTCCGGTCGATAATTTACTGCTGTCTAATTGGCGGTATCGTTACGTTATACATTAACAGGGCACACAGGCCACAAGTTATATTATAAAATTGCAATTGAATCGTAGTCTGAAAAAGAAATATGTGATATATATATATTGAACTCAATCACTGAAAGTTAAAGCCTAAATCAAGAAACTTGTAGTTCTGTGCAGGAAACAATTTAGTTCAAGACTATAAATCAGTGATAAATTTATGCTTATTAATCAATAGAAACGTCATAAATCATGAATCATATTAATTAGGCTTTCATTGGATTAAACTCCTTGAATAACATCTTCGAACCCTAATGTCTCCGATTACTGCTTAAACTTTTACTACCTCTAACACTACGGGATTTGAATCGACAATTGCATCTTTGTGCTAATGTGGTATGGTAACCCGAACTGATCTAGATACGCACGAAGTTCTACGTTGCTACTGACTGAGAGGTTTTCAAAGTAGAAAAGAAATTTCATGCTCCCGTTTGTTACGAATCCGAAGCAAGTTACCGATGTTCAAGGTATGCTAATTTTATTAAAGTACACATAAAAATAATGAATATACGGATATGACATTTTTGGGATTATTTCCAAAATTTGAGCTAGATAATTCCATATTACAACTTAGACCTGACCAGAAATGATAGTAATCATGAGGTCGATTGAAAAACTAAGATATACATTGTTTTTACTCATAACAATAATTGAGGTGAGGGAACATTTTTTAAAATCCATACCAAATATTATAGTGAAGACATTAATTATCTAAACCTAGTTAACAACACAGATTTTGTCTGTTACCGCGATGCAGGAGGATTTAGTTTAACGTCCTTAACAAGTGCATCATTAAGGTCGTAAATGCATGTCGGCATAAATAGGAACAATGTAAGGCTTACTGCAAACAGCTATCAACTAAAACAAACATAGAACAGTTTATATTCAAAGCGATAACATTGCACTCATCTCATGATCCACTAATAAAAGTTACTTGACTTCTCTACTGTCTCACACTCCCTTAAGAAAGCTTAACAACCCAACGAATCCTAACCATAATCTCTATTGAGGACTGATAATTTCCACACGAAACACCATAATGTATTTACTATTTTCTGGCAGAACACAACATATCATTTGCGCTACTCTGTGTTTGTATGTTAGTCACATGTGAACAAGTCAACTGACTTGGTTGATCAGGCTAAGCATTTTAGATAATTAAAATAACTCATTATGTCACTGAATAGAAATAAAAAGAACTTAGCGAAGAAAACATCCTTCTAGACACCATTTACTGAAGCTGTACATCCTATTCACTTAAAAAAACTGGATCGGAGAGAAGTCGAACCAAATACGACCGAAAGTAGGGAGGGTCAGCTCTCCTTCTCCAAATGGCTCTCAAGTGGACACGTGCATACAACCACTGACAGGGAAATCCCACTCACTCCCTCCTCGCAATGAGGTGTTGTTTACGAAATTAAGAGGACGAAAAGCGAATGTCCGGCGCTTTAAACGGGTTGGTGGATACGGAAGATTTACCCAGGGGAGTTGGAAAACCCTAATTCCAAACCAATGGTGCACATGGGCTCCAGGATCCCGATTAAACAAATGGCATATGAGCCAATTGTTGGTCACCGGCTACTATCGGACTGCTTCTCCTCACGTTGCCCCACTACCTTGTTGATCAGACCTTTATGTCGAAGGCTTCGGGTGTGGCCTCCTTAAAAGATCACGTGCTTCGGTTTGAGCACCGAGGAAGTATCCCAGTCCTCACACAAATCGAATGACTTATGTGGCACTTATCTGTTTGGTGCCTCTTTGTGCCAATGTTTATGTGGTTAAATAAATAAAACCCACCAATTCATGCCCAAGCTCTATGTGCAAAAACGATACATTCAAAATCTCATCCTTCCTGGACTTGAATTCTCTTCTGTAGTATTTTTAGTTTTTGTTTTGTTTTTATTATTATTCTGTAATTTTAAATCATTGTTTGTTATTATAATTCATGATTATTGTTCGATTATTATTATTAGGACTGTTATGTTTTTCATTTCCCTTCCTATCTGTCAAGTGGACAAATTATTTTCAACCTTCTTTTCTTCTCTAACCTCCTGATTATCAACGCAATGTTTTTTTGAGATTTGAAATCTTGAATCACTTTATTATGAGATTCTTTCTATCTCTTTATAGAGTTACCAGACAACTATCCATATGAATGTACAGCTTAAGTAAATGATTTCATCAGAAAAAAAACTTCACTGAATTCTCATTATTTTTAAACATCAGATCATTTCTAAATTTGTTTGGGAATATGGGATTTACCCTTGATGAATAGGGAATTTCTAAATTTAACCTTGAGGATACATACAAGTCATATTCGTCAGATGCGATCATTATTATTTTCGGATGTCCCATTCAACCAACACTGTAAAGAGAAGCACACTAATAATTTCAATAAACTAGGTTTCAAAAGTTTATTACATAAAGACAAGAAATATATATGATGGACACTCGTTATCAATACCAATTGCACTATGTACGAAGAAAAGCTATCGTTACATCGAGGTGCACAGAACAAGCTGTGAAACACATATGGAGAAATTCGAACACTTCACTTCTATCTGAAGTTTGTGCTGATGATGTCGTTCAGAAGAACGATGAAAGCTCCACGACCAAACCATCCAGCTCAGAGAACAAAACTCCACCAAAATCATCCACCTGAGCTACAAATCTTCTCCACCATTTCAATATCGTTACTTTTAAACCAAATTATATTGGAGTCAAACGCTATAATTATCATCATTTACAATGTGACTTAGCTGACCTACCTCAAACAGACTTTTAAAATTCGTAGAACAACATTCACAATAACCCGATGGTTCATCATTGACAGCAGCAGTAGTCGAAGAAGCTTTGGGATTACTACACAATGTACAATAATAAAACGAAAATTACACAAAACTGATCTATTCACAAAATAGTTTAATTACTATCTAATGATTAAAGACTGGTACTTTTGTTTGCACTGCCCACTGTATTCAGACACTAACAGAGATTTTAATGAAAGCATTACTACTGGGTTAATTATGCATTAATAAACAATAGCTATATTTCAAACTATTAGTCCATGGATTACGGCACAGTATAAAAAAGGACGGGTGTTTCGTTTACTCACTAAATTAGATAGGAAGTAAACCACTAAGTGACATTCCCAGGTCCGATTTAGTTACCGATGATTCACGATTTCCATACTCTTAAACACCCCACTATATAAAGAGATGGGCCCGAAGACTACGTGGGAGACATTCTGCCAACAGCGGAACAAATGATACTTACAGCACGTTCAGATTTATGTGTCCTGAATGACCTAAACAGAAATATGTGGGGGTTGACTATCGTCAAACGGATGACTCACATAAAGTAGACCACCCACCAACTTAAAATGTGGTTTTGTGTTACGTTCTGAAGTTATCCAATTTAGATATTGATACACACACTTCTTACAATCGAGCCCAACCTACCTGATAAACGAGAGGATCAAGAATAACTAAGAAATAATTGGCAAACCGAATAATAATCTACACAACTTATTGGTATGTACATACATTCGTCCCTCAGATATGAGTCTGAACCTTACCAGTGTGCATAAACAGCTCCAAATAATGGTATATTTTAGTTAACATCTCTAACCTACCACTTGGCATAGAGCTAGCACATGCATATAGACACATAATACGTCATCATTTACCTACCCCATCACCTGACTCACAACATCAAAATGACTAATGCAACACCAGAATGTGAGAGAATGGGAGTACAAATCAATTTAGACAGAAAAGATTAGCTTCGAAAGAGGTGCTGTTGTACTCTGGTCGCGAGGATAAAAATGCTCCACAAACTCAAAGGGTTGCTCTGATGCTATCCAAAGAAGCACGTAAAGCACTCATAGGATGGGAATCTCATGGATCCGGAATCATCAAACCACCATTCAAAACAAAGAAGGAAGGGATCACAATGAATTTTATCCAGCGTTATGCACCCACCAACGGTATCAATGACGACGATAAAGATCGCTTTCATGAGAGGCTGTAATCGATCATAGCGAAGTACCCAGGAACGAACCTGACAATCCTGATGGGAGATCTAAAAGCCAAAGTCGGAATGGACAACACCAAGTATCAAGATATCATGCAATGACATGCACTGACTAGGAGAAAGAAACGATAATCAAGAGAGATTCGCAAATTTATGTGCATTCAACAAAATGGTTATAGGTGACACAATATTCCCACACAAACGCATCGACAAAGCTACATGAATGTCACTGGATCGCACAACAGAGAATGAAATCGATCATATTCGCATCACTAAAAAATTCACAAAGTCAATGGAAGAGGTGAGAACAAGGAGTGGAACTAAAATAGCTTTAGATCACCATCTACCTGGCGGTTCTCAAGAGGAAAGCTGATGCTAAAGAAGCAGTGGACAAACAACATTACAAAAGGTTTAATACAGACTTCCTTCGACATACTTACAAACTCAATGAATTTAAGATAACTCTCAACAACAGGTTGCGAGCTTCACAAGATCCACTCAAAGAAGAAGAACTAACTTCAACATGTCAGGAGATTCAAAACCACAACAAGCATCATCATGAAGAATGCAGCTCTATCGAAACCCTGTTTTTGATTCACGAAAAGAAGAGTAAGACAGTAATTAACAACAGTCGAACAAGAACAAATAAAGTCAAGGCACAAGCTGAATATGCAGAAGCAAATAAGCAAGTGAAGCGATGTATTTGAACTGATAAGAAGAAACACATGGAAGACCTAGCAAAGACAGAGGAAAAAGCTGCATGAGAAGGAAATATGTGATGTGTGGTAGTGAAAGCAAAGTACAATTTGCTGTTGAGCGTGAACAAACAACCACAGCCTACGGACTGTTAAATATGCGATTTACCTTTTTATCACTGATTTCTATTCCAGATTCACTGTGTGTGACTGCTTGTGGTTGTATTGAATAAAGTATTCTCTATTGTTAATCTGGTTCTTTATCTTTGGGCCACGAATTCTGGTTTTAATATAACATGATTAGTCTTACTAACGTATTATCGTAATATGCGTGTAGAGAGGGAACAAAATACTATAAACCATTCGTTATATCCAGTCGCATCGGGTGAAATTCAAAATCGTATGACGAACGTTTAAAATGAATGACTTTCTGGTGATATCATAACTAATGTTGCTTGCTCTCAGAATGTATTTGTTTCTATTGAAAACCTTAGTCAACATGAAGCACTGTGGTTTTAAATGGGTTCAAATATAATTGTAGTTCTGATAGTCCTATATCAAATGTTATTTATCCTCACAATACGTTTACTCCTGGTCAGTGTGCGAAATATGTTTTAAATGAGTTATAGTTTGATTACGTTTCAGATTTTATTGTAGATGTTGGGTGCTCTCTCACACATATATGTTACGTAAAATCCCTACTCAATGATATGATGAACCAACTGATATAGCAAGTGTTTGCGAAGCAGTCCCGAAACCAGAATGCCTAGGAGTGGTGTCTGACAGTTTGAAATCCCGGGTAAGACCCGATGCCAGTGTTGGTAGAAATAAGTATGGTCAATTTGTACAAAGCACTCAATGTGTTTTGAAAACAGTATGATGAGGAGTCATCACATTTCAGTATTCGCTATAGTTATCTACAAATACCCAACGAATCTGATGATATTTATCTTGTGTATTCGGTCATGAACTTTATCGACCGATTTCCAATCACTGTTTGGCACTCTTGACTTAATTTCAGTGTAAATTACTTGGTCAGTATTCGCCTGAAAAACGCAATTACTTATGTCACTACAAAGATAGTGTTGTAAAAAGAAACAACAAAAATATCTACCTTTCCGTTCCTTTAGCAACTAAAGAAGCTGTACGTTGTAATGGAGTAGCAGTATTATGTTTTTGAAGACGATGTTTACGTTTATTTCGACTATCTCTGCGTGTTAAGACTGACTGAGTGCCTGTTCCAGGAATACAATGACTTGGATTTTGTAGAGTAAAACCAACACTTGCTCCCGGGACACTACCACTACACGGCCCATTAGCAGTAGTAACTGTTGTTGTAATAGTAGCAGTAGTAGCAGTAGTAATGATAACAGTAGTATTGGTTGTAGTTATTGGGATCGGAGATGATGGGGTATCATGTACGCCCACTTCAAGAAGGGATTTAGATTTAGATTTATAACGATTGGTTAGATTCCACAAGTCAGGCAAGTAGTCTGTTTTATCTAAATAAATAGGTCGGTAATGACTTTTTGTATCAATCACTTTGATACATGGTGTCACTAGATGTCGAACTGAAATTAGTAATACATAATAAAAACTTTAAGTTATGCAATATTATTATAATAGGATTATTAATAAAATTCGTACTGATTCGAGTTTAACATAAAAAATTAAGAAACTGTAACTACGTCTATATAGAAAGCTTAGTCATAAGGTAAAAAGACAATTAAATTGCGGATATATTTAGAATAACAATGAAATAGCCTTTTTCTGATGACCATTGACGAACATCTCATATGTATGCTTTATGACAAGAGATACTTGTAAGAAAAATGCTATTTACATGGAAAAGGATTGTCGAAATGGTACCTTAGAATATTGGAAAGAACAGGCAGGTAACTGTCTGTCTCGCTTATTTATCAAATGATTTACTATAGAAATTATAACTGTTAGACTAAAGTGCACTCTGAGGAAAGATTATTGATGATTTAACACTTAATGGTATAATACCCAGAATCTATGATTGCATCGAAGACAGTTAATAAAATATATTGAAATCATGAACCGATCAATCTTAGACCACTATTGAAAACTTGGAAGCACTAGACGGGACTCTTTGGTAGTGCCCATCCACGATCCCGCACACAGAACCCAAACCCAGTTAGACGTTAACACCATTGGATGCCGCATCAGTGGTCTAGAGTTTGAGCGTTCACGCGAGACCAAACGCCATGATTTCGAGTCCTATGTGCGAGATCGTGGATGCGCACTGCCAAGAAATCTTAAACTAGGATAAAACGACCGTCCAGTGCTTCCAGTTGTCTAATGATGGTCCGAAATTGATTGGTCCATGATTTCAATTAAAGTCAACAACCTCCATAACTCCTTACTGATAATAAAATATCAGTGAAATGTTTCCTGCAAACAATCTTGGTAAAGGCTAAACTTTCATTTAAATATGCGACTCCCGAAATAAGAATACTTAGAAATATTAAACAACAGTATCCCCAAACCAAGGTGACTATCGAAGTACATGCAACTAAACGTTTAGGAATTGTTCTGCTCTAAATGATTGGTAAAGCAAGTCTACTCGATCAAATACACTTAAATACGACAAAGTCATTTGGAAATTTGTCAATAACACTGAATAACTATATAAAGATGATCTAGTGAAGATAGACAGTAAAGACACTAGGATCGAATTAATGTATGTTATCTGTGAACATTTTTGTTAGTATGTGATTCATATGAATTTAGGCCCAAATTGACCAGATACATTAAACGAGAAAAAATCGGATTTTAAGCACAAAATACAGTCAAGTTGTTAAGTGTCAACATTCTACCTCATTTTCATCAATAAAAACTTACTAGTTATTGACAGAAGCAAGTAGAATGAGTTAGTTTAAAAATAGTACAATATATAATAAACAGTCATGATGATAATGATGATTCAGACAACTCAAAACCTGATTATTACCTTTAATGTGATAACTTATTGAGTTCGAGAGGTTATCAGAAAAACATTCAAGAAATTTTACACAACATAGTACTTGGAACAAAGATTCGAAGAATTACCTTCATGAATCCTATCACGCTCTGGATCATTAGTTAACTTGTCGAGATGATCATCATGATCTGTTCGTTGTATAGACTATAAGATAATAGGATAAAACAGTTTAATCTACAGCGCAATAGTTGATTAAACCACTAGAATAATGACAAAAACAACACCTAATTAAATTAATTACAAGTGTAACATAGACCATCAGCCAATTAAACGTATTTACAATTACACAAAACTCCGCCTGGAGTCCCTCCGGGGGCTACTGTCCCATGCCCGGATAAAGGAGGAGGGTTGGGCATGGGGTTAGCGACCCCATCCCGTAGAAAACTAACTCACCAAAAAAAAAACACTAACCAGAAGAAAAATTATTCAAACAATTACAGAACGAATGTTTTTATAAAGTGAATCTTGGTACCCAGTTATTTCCAGTAAGCATAATATTGAGATGTTTTCATCTGTGCATTAATAATATTTAATAGGTATCAGTGTATCGAATGGTTATGTCACATGTGCAAGTGGAGATTATGATAGTAAGATTTGCGATAAAAAGCCGAATAGCTAGTTATAGGACTAGAAATTATTACTAACAGCAGTATGATAAGCAGGTTCGAAAATAAACAAAATAACCATTCAACATTTAAATTGAACTCCATTGAATCTACTTTAGTTTGAACAGCCTTATAATATTGTTAGCCATCATACAAAATGTGTAACTCAAAGTCAAGTACAAAATTCTGAAAGCCTAAGCTGATATACCCTAGCAACACGGCGAGATGAAATTAGCAAGACCGATGAGACATGGGTCAGAATAGTAGTAGGATCAATGATAATGCAAAAGATAAAATATCACGGATACGGTTGAAAAAATGGAAAAAAGATAGGCATCAAAAAACATCGCAAAAAATATTAATACAACAAAGGAGATATCTACCTGAATATATGACTGAACGTCTGATGGAAGATTTTTTATCCATTTCGTTACAGCTACAATAAAAAAACCCAGAAAATACGGAGATAAATTACGGCAAGAAATAAAATTATTCAAAATGCTGAATAGACGTGTACTGGAGCATAAACCTACAATTGATCCGTGAATAAAATCGATGGTTGACAAGTGATAAACAAAAGAATGTAGTATGGTTCCTAAAGTAGGAGTAAGAGATAGTTATGTGAAAACTTCGGAAATTATCAACTAATATTAACTCATTTTCAACTTTGGTATGTAAGAAGTGCTTATTTACAAATCTCAAGAAGTGAGATGTTCAGATATTTACCGAAAACTGCTATAAATTTATGTCTGTGCGGTTTTAGGACAAAGCCTAGGCGAATATTTTTAAAAGCTGAAATAAACACTTGTACAGAAGTATTCTTACAACCCAAATAATATTTACTGAGATCAGAATAAATTCATACTTACACACTTCAAGAACCACTGAGAAAAATACATTACAGTCAAGTGTATTCAGAAAATCCAATCTCTGCGAAAGTCGTATTAATAGAAACAAGTGCTTATCTATCACAGCTCTAAAATACTGAGAAAGCATTTTTCTAAAGATTACATCCAGTGACCTAAGCAAACAGTATGGTTATCTAGCTAGTATCGACTTTAAGCAGTGAGTTACGCCGACATAAAGATGTATCCCAAACATTCTAGATGTTATATTTCTTTCTTAGATTTCCAAGCTTGGAAAACTATTTTTGATTCCGCTAATTTCCATCCATTTAAGGTTTACTACTAATAACTTCGTGTAAGATTGGAACTCACCAGTCATTTTCAGTATTCCTGATTTACTAGTCATAAAAAAAACTTAAATTTGATCCCATAAAACAGTGCAGTTATTTTATCCTATGACGGACATATCCAGGGACGCCTTGCTGATGTGTGCTAACTAGGATGAAAATGAGGTTTAAGGTTTCCTATCGATTCAGTCAGTCATCTGCATCGTAGGAACAGATATATATGCATCGGACCAAGTTGCCACACTTCATTAGACAAGATGAACACCAAATTCATAGTAGTCGATTCAATGGTACTAATATATAAAAGAAAGATAGCATATAAGGATATGATACATGAAGAAAGAACTAGCTCGTGGACAGAAAGGTATAAATCAATTTTAATCTCACGGTTTAAGGGAAGACAAAGAGTGTATATACCGACGCCATTGTGATCGATTCTGAGTTGTATCATACAGTCTCCAACCGTTTGTTACGATAGTCGGACCCCAACAAGGTAGTCTGCATCTACCAACATGGCTCAGACCAGAAGTTAGTGACTTCAAAGACTGATGCCATGTTTTGGTTTGACCACCCCTAACTTTCTTCCATGGTAATCGGTGGTTGGGCACGTATAATACATGACCCAATCATCTTAGACGATTACTTTCAACCACATAAAAAGTTCAAATAAATATAATGTACCGTCTTTGACTAAACACACATTAGTTATCATTTTTTTTAAAAATTTGACATACATCCACGTAATTGCTTTAATATCAAACAAGGGTAAGTAAAACTTACTGTCAATAGAGAGAATTTTAATACCTAGCTGACGAGCTTTGTATAACAGGTCATTATTTGAATTTAACTTTTGGCTAGATCCCAATACACAAGACATAGATGATGACTGAGATTGTATAGGTGCAACAGATACATCATTGGATGTTTGAGCCTAAATTTCAAATAAAAGTAAGAAAATCACGAAATATAATTAAAGATATAAGTGAAATTAGGACATTATAAAGGCAATGTTAACTTCTCATTACCTAAGGAAAAGACCAGTGGATTTCTCTAGCATTTACCGAATTGACATATACTCAGAAACCCACCTCGTTAAGCTTTCAAACACGATAAAGAGCGAGGGCAGATTGGGGCCGAAGCACATTAGCTGGAAGGCTTGAGGTTATCATGACTACATTAGTTTCGCTATGTTATTGCATCGCAAGTATAAAGACAAAATTATTGCGAAATGGAGACCACATTACAACATCCTCTTAGTATCACCATATTCAGGACCAACAATCTTAAAACTGTTAGACATTCAAAGTATCAAACAGGGGTAACATGTATTGGTCAGTCAGATTTAGTCAACATATCATTTGCCATGTATCTATTCATTTAGGTTTTGTCTATTAACATGGGTTCCTACCCTGAAAATGTAGTTTTTGAAACAAGTCACCGATACTAGAAAAAGGCATTTGTGGTGATAATTTAAGTCAGTTGAATAAAAACCAACTTACTTGGTTTAATATCGATGAGGCTGTAATACCTGATGAAGTAGAATTAGAATCTTCAGTAGCGATTTTGCGTGCGGCAAGTAACATAGCTCTACCACGTGTTACCGGGCTATTAACAGGTTTGCTTCCTATTAGCACAGGAACTTTGAGATTGTTTGGTGTTTGCGAAGTAGATGAGAGCTGATTGTGAAGCGAAGTGGATTGTTTCGACGATCTAACCGGTGATTCATCAATAGTAGGTGATGCCAATCGAGATGATATCCGATTAGTTATGACGTAATCAACATCCCGACTAAAGAATTCAACTACCTCCTAAGTTTCGTAAAAGGAAACGATATAGAATAATTATTAGGAAAATAATAATTGGGGAATGAGTTACTGTTTCAGCAGAAAGTAATTTATGATGATTGGTTTAAATATTTGACTTTAAATTACAGGGTCACTTATCTGAATTCTGATACCATTTAAGATAACCGGACATGAAAATAAATTGAACCTTATGTATTGGGATACTTGTCAAAGTCGCTATACTGTGCATCAGTATAGTGAGAAATCAATAAGAAAAAAATATTAAATACAATATCAACTAGGAACTAAAGTAAACAGATGTTAAGGAAAATTCCAAACGAAGAACAAAAAGTATAAGTTATTCACAAGATAGACGATTCATACGTTCGTGAGTTCCATGAATCATGAACTCTATAGCAAACCGTCGCGACTCTGACTATTTTAAGAATTTCAACACAGAATCCTTAACTTTTGATGGAACAATGAAAAACAGAGTAGATATGAAAAATGCAATGTATGGTGCAAGTAAATCACACTTTTCAAATCAACTCAATCTTCGGATTGTCCTATCAAGGTTTATAAAAAAAGAATAATTGGTTTAAATCCTTAAGTTCGGTAAGCGGTTCTTATCAAACATTGGTATGTTTTTAGTTCGAACAGTCTTATAAGTTTTTCACCAAACTAAATCTAGCTACAGATGGAATCGACAGAAGGTAAAACAAAATAGTCAGAACAGTAATAACAGCAGTAGCGGAAAAATTGGAGGCAATAAAGGCAGAGAATCCAGAAACATTAACACTAAAGTGATGAGTAACGACTTCACCAAGAATTATTTATTTCCTGAACAAAAACGTAGGCCTTGTGTTGGACTTCTGCAACACATTTAGGGATAGTGATTGAGCAATGGTCTAGTGATAAAAACACTCGGTCCCCAACTGGCAGGTCGCAAGTATAAGATCACACATTTCACGTGAAGATCTATCAAATATACTTTGACTGAAAGCATTTTAGTCAATGTTTATTTGCTTTTTTTCTTCATATAACATTTCTGCTTTTCTTAGTCTAGTTATTTATTTATTTGAACATATAAATATCGGTACAAAGGGGCACACAAGTCATTTGGTCTAGTAGCCTTTCAAGTGAGTCCGATTTTACTATACGTAGCTCAGGCACGTTGTCAATATAGGGATGTACTATGATAATTTCAACAACTGGTGCAGTTGTGGACGAACGCGAGCTTTTATTAGATGGTGCTAGAAACCACATTCACGCTAACTCTACTGAGAATGGGGCAAAACCACTAGAGATATTGAAGCTATAAAAGTGATGAAATCCGTTTAAAAACTTCCCGAGGACAAAATGAACGATATAAGTAATAAAAGACAGTTAACGGATACTGATGATACTGTAAGTGACGTCAACAACTCAGTTCCAGAACTTCAGAAAGTCGCTGTAGCGGATTGATTAAGCACACATACATTACAACAACTGGGCACCAAAATAAATGTGCGCCACAAATAGGGATAGACGAATGGAGAATATAATCAAAAAAGTTTGAATGAACAAAAATAAGTTAGCGAGAACAGTATATAATAGGGAAACGGTTCGGTTAATATACAAAACAGAAATACTTCTTTCAGTTAAGGGAGTTCCTTTCACTTTTATGAATGTAAAGGAAAGCTAGACCAGGATCACCATGGGCATTTGTTTTGAGTTATGTATGACAGCGTCCTGAGTCTCCGAGTCGCACTACCTACAAGACCCTAAACAGTAGATCGTGATGAACAAATTCCAGTCCTATACAGCTTTCTTTCATAAAACAATGTCATATCATGAAATAACCACCTCACTGTTTTTTTCCACGTTGTCCTAGAGTCGGCAAGTAACGGGTGATGTGGGATTCATTGGGATGACATTCGTAACACATGTCCAAGCCGCCGAAGCCGGTACTTCAAGATGGTGACTAATGGAATTGTCGTCCCTGTGTTGAAACACACATCGCCAAACCACTATATTATTACCACGTTATTGTCACTGGAAGTCAACAATCGCTCAGACCCTAGTCAGGGAGTCGAGAAGGATCAACAGAAGCCATCCTTTTAAATCGTTCTTTCATACTACGACACCATGTCATACACTGACCACCTCTCCGCTTTTTCCAACCAGTCCCAGCGCCTGCAAATAAAGCACGAAGATGAATTCACTGGGACGACATTCGTAGAATATGTCAAAGCCACCGAAGTCGGTGTTTCAAGATAGTGACACCAATTGCATTATCGTCTCTGCACACGAACACACGATGACAAACCTCTGCATTACTGACATGGTGATGCCACTGAATGTCAGCAATCCTTAGGATACACCGGTGATCAAATACAGAGTCGTCTAACGTCCTCAACTCGAAGAGGCCACGTTTCACAAGCATAGAGCAAAACTGTTCTCATCGACGCGTTGTAGATGCGACCTTTTACAGCCAGACTAACATCACGAAGGTGCCAAAGATAGCCCAGATTGGTATAAACCGCTCTGGCTTTCAATATACGAGCATTGATCTCATCACTCACGCCACCACCAGCACTTATGCAGCTACCTAGATACACCAACTTCTCGACTACTTCTATCTGCTCACCATCCAGAGTGAGTACAGGATTAGAATCCTGTCAGTCTTGTAGAAGTACTTTGCACTTCGAAGGTGCAAAGCACATACCATATCTACGGACACTGATTGCCAACTGATTAAGTGCGGATTGCATGCCTCGGGCATTATCGCACAGTAAGACAACATGGTTCACATACTCAAGGTCGAGAAGTTTTTCTCCAGGCAACAGGTCCACACCACCATTACTTACATTCATCAGAGCTGTTTCCAGAATATCGTCGATGGCAAAGTTGAAGAGCAATGGTGAGACTGGGCAACCCTGTCTAGTCCCACTGCTCGAATGGAACGATGGAGAAAGGTGGTTGTATGTCCTCACTCCACCTGAGGTGTTTGTATATAGGGCCTTTAAGATGTTAATAAACTTCTCAGGCACACCCTTCTTCAATAGACAATCCCAGAGAACAGTCCTATCCAACGAATCGAAGACAGCCCTGATGTCAAGAAACACTATAACTTTTGGCCTTTGATAAGTATGACGGTGTTCTAACATTTGGCGGAGGGTGAAGATATGATCAATACATCCTCGACCAGAACGAAACCCAGCCCGCTCCTCACGAGTCAATCTTTCTCGGGTTTTGAACAACTTACGAAGTATGACGGAAGCCAATAGATTGGACGCAATCGGAAGTAGATTATCCCTCGATAGTTGTTACAGGAACGATGTGTTCCCTTTTTAAAGATAGGAACAACTATCAACTCGTTCCATGATGCTGATACACTCCTAGTTCCCAGGCCTTTGTAAACAACATAGTCAGTTCCTTAGCCAGAAGAGCCGGATGTAAGTCATATGAGCCCGGTGATTTGTAGCGCTTCAAGATTTGGAGTTCCTTGCGGACTTCCGCCTCACTTGGTGGATCAGTCGTCATCGGCCATGGAGGGCAGGGCAGTCTGATAGATGTTGCCGGAGCAGCAGACCAGTTGAACTGCCTTTCAACGAATTCTGCCTATCGTCCAAGACGTCGATGGATGTTAGTGATTGGCATCCCATCACCTTTGTAGATTGTTTCGCTCACACCAGACTTCTTGCTGCCAGTGGCTCGGATGAGTTGGAAGAGCTTCCGGTGATTACCAGACGCAGCTGCTGCTTCCAGCTCATTAGCACGCTCCGACCGCCAGGCTTCTCAGTCCTTACGCAAGCTTTGCCCGATTTCATTACGCAACAGCCTTCGTTTATGGTCAAACTCACGGTTACTCGGAGTAGACCGACGGGCTTCGATGAGTTGTAAGGAGCCTGAAGAAACCCAGTGCGGGACGTTTCGTGAAGCTGCAAGCGATTTTACTCGCCATTTTCATGGCGTCATGCAATCGCAACCAATGCTAATCTATACTTTTCGGTTGAATGGTAGCTAGCCTAGAAGCTAGCTCCGTTCGATACTTACTTGCAACAGAAGTTGCAACCAACTTGCTGACATCAATCCGTTGGTGGCGGTCACTTCGTTGTCCACTGAAAAGTAAGGTAAGATTGGCGCAGACCAGGGCATGATCAGAGTCCAGACAGGTACTCCAAAAGGAGCGGCAGTCTTGTACACAACCATGCCAGTGGTAGCTGGTCGTGATATGATCAATCTGAGTCCAGTCTTGGGATGCAGAGGGAGGACGCCAGATGGCACATCGACGATGACTGTGCCGAAAGTTAGTGCTAGCCAGAAACAGGTTGTGGTCTGTGCACAGTTGCAGTACACGGTCCTCGTTATCTGTCCTGCAACCAACAAGTTTCCATCGGCCACCAAAACGATTCTCTTCTGTGCCTAGACGCCTAAGCATTCAAGTCTCCGGCTAGTACTATAATGACGCACTTTCTGGAGAACAACAGTTAACTGGTGGTAGAATTCATCCTTGATTGCATCCGGGCTGCAATCTGTCGGGGAATAGGCGGAGATGACGAACAGACATGGTTTCTCACGCCGATTTCTCCTCACTTTGATGGAACTCTCTAATCTAACAGCACATAACCGACTGTTAATGGGGATTCATTCGATTAGCGCTACCTCAGCTCTAGCGCTTAGTGCGACACCAATACCAGCAAGACCAGACGAAGAAGCCACAGGGTCCCCGGATAGACGCACGTAAAACAAGCTTTTTGAAGCAACAGATGGACAGCGAATTTGTAGTATTTCACCAGTCTTGAATACGGGTCTCGCATAGACAACAAACGTCGATATTAAAACTTCCCAAAGATATAGCCAGCCCTATCTGTTATCCGACCTGCATATGTGTGCGAACGTTGAAGGCAGCTAGTTTGAACGGTGCACGTGATTTCAGAAAAACTGCCTCAGTATTCGTATTCGGTGGTAGCATACAGTTTTCGACCAGGCAGTGACTCGAGAACCGATTTTTCACCATAGGTGAGCTGCTGTACAGCCTTTAGTTTGCAATTTATGGTGAAATCTAGGTTGAGTTGACAGATTAAGGTTATATTTTTTAGAAGGTACGTGAGTTATTATCAATGCATAACAGTTAATAGGCTCCATAAATCACTATTTTATCTACTAAATACTGGAATCAAATGAACTAAAAGAATATTTTTTCAATCTTAATTATATCAAGGACTGATATTTCTAAGGTCATGAATATACAATACATATATTAATGTCACATGCTACATGAAATTTAACATTCAGTATTTTAATACTAACTATGAACTAAAATCTCTTACATAACAAAAAAATTGTTGCATTTTTAACATTATTCAATCACATGAAAGTAGACTGTAAGTAGTATTGAAAAAGGAATGATTTTTTGAAAAAATCTTGGAAATATTCTGTTAATTTAGTAAATTCTACGTAGATTGAATATTATTTATTTGGATATATGCACTTCTGTTCCTTTATTATTTATTTAAACACATAAACATTAGTACAAGAAGGCACCAGATAGACATGCGCCACATAAATCATTCAATTTGTGTGAAAGCTGAGATATTGACCGGGTGTCCAGACCGAAGCAGGTCGTTTTCTCATGAAGCCACACCCGAAGCCTTCGACCTAAATGTCTGATCAGCAAGGCAGTGGAGCAATGTCAAGAGATGCAGTCTCATGGTAGCCGGTGACCAACAATTGGTTCGTACCCCATTTGTTTAATCAGGATACTGGAGTGTGTGTGCATGATTAGTTTGGAATCAGGGTTTTCCAACTTCCCTACGTGGATCCTCTACATCCACCAACCCGGTTAAAGCGTCCGACATTCGCTTTTCGTCCTCTTAATTTCTTAAACAACAGTATTGCCACGAAAAGGTAGTGAGTAGGACTTCCTTGTCAGTGGTTATATGCACGTGGTTATGTGAGAGCATTTCGAGAGATATAGAGAGCTGACTCTCTCTACACTCGGTTATACCAGGGCATTTGGGGGCCAATCGTTTACTATATGTAACCATATTGTTTTCATGTCAAGATTCCGTAAGTAAACATATTACTTAGTAATACAAAATAGCTAATTCTTTTGGCTGGTGATCATGTTGTTGATATTAAACTGTAGAGCACCGATAAGTGAGATGTTTTAAACACGTTTTCAAGACTTCACTGCAATATACACTACAGTGTAACCCACAGAAGATAAAAACTATACAATGAAACATCTCATTCATAGTAAAGTCGATGGGCAGCTTTAAGTAGCTTATCAGAAAGTAATTATGAAAAGCAGAGAAGGAGCTCAACCACCTGCCGCTAAAACGCCACCAAAAAGGTAACTATAAACTAAATAGACGCAGAATTATGTCAAGTCTCTCAGACAAGTCAATTATCATTTATAAAGTGAAAGTCAAAAAAAGACTGAAGAGCTAGTGACCAAAACAGAAACAGATCATTTCGTAAAACAAAATTTAAATTCTAGAAGTCTACACTCAAGCGGTTTTCTGTAGAAAAGTACTGTTAGAAAACAAATCTTCAGTCTTGGAATCTGTCATTACTATTTATAATCTGGCTGATAATATTAAAAGGTTATATATAAGCTGTCAAAACGGAAAAACGAACCGTACTTCCGGTCAAATAGCTGCATAGGCCTTACTGTACGCAAGTTCAATCAAATTTCTAGGCTTAGAGACGTAGTCATCATTAAAATCATTTGACCAGAAGTCGTTGGAATTCACAACCTTACTGGCACTTGTTCAACACACCAGTGATTATAAAACCAAAAAATGAACAAGTTAGCAAAGTAACTGCATCTCAAATGATAGACGACTAGGACAATGGAGAGGCCATAGCCAATCATGTTGCAATAATCTTAACTCGCGAAATGCTACATCAAGAAAAACATGTGTAGAAGCAAAGCCATACAACAAACTGCGTTCAAGTCATAAACTCTTAATTAAAATGTAACTCATAGCCTGGAAAGTGCAAAGAACTTTTGCCTGTGCCTAGCTTCTTTTACGAGTGGACTAGAAAGTTAAGCCTTATTGTACTATTCCGATGATGTACAGGACCTCTGTCACTCCTTCAATTAGACCAACTAATACACATGACACGGTTGGAAAATTCAAAGGCCAAGGACAAACCACATCATAGAGTACAGATTTTCCTACCGTGCAACTAACTCCTTGAATCTAATTTTAAGAATACTTTGTGTACTGACTGAATTACCCCAGAGAAAGCTAAACACATACAAGAACACTGGAAAATAGTAAAATGGATTTGGCGTTCTGTCCCCTATATCCTTCAAAATATATTGTACTAAACTAGGTTTTCGGACCGTTACATTGTTTGTTCGGCCCCCAATTGACTGGACGCATTGGATAAGGACTACCACTCCACAAACACTACATTTGGTGCATAGATTGTTCCAGTTTTCAGTCACATTCTAAAAACTATCCTACCAGATTTCGTTGAATATTACGTGCCGACGCCACGAAGTGTCTTGCTTATTTTCAACCAAAACTTATTAACGTAAGTTCTACCACACGTAAAACGCTCAGGAAAAAATAATACTGAGCATAAAAAAGGTAAACTTGCTCCTTTAAGCTTCTTTAACACTTGTTCAATGTGTTTGTCACGAGCTGTGCCTGATTCACAATGCATGAACAACTTTTTGCCAAGAAGTGGAGCGAGTCTATTTTCTGGAGGTGAAAATGCCTTAGTAATTGTTTCCACACCAGTGTTATCATCGACCAGAGAGCTGTCTGACTTCACAGGTGGTAATCCAAACGTCGAATGACTACTCAGTAATTTTCGCTCGCAACTATGGTCATAGCCATCCATATTCCCGTAGCCTGAAGCCGTTGGAAAGTCGGCGTCAAGGTTGGTGTGTTATTTAAGGGGTGGGAAGAAACGTGTGAGTGAGGACCTACAAAAGAAGAGGATCAGTGAGCCAGAGACTAGGTGCACGTAAGCATATTGCACAATTTTTAAGTAACAACTAACTAGGAAGTAAGGGAAATTTGAAGTTATCTGATGACCACAAATACGATCAAACCATCACCTTCGGATGGACTTTACAAACCAAATTCCCATCGTTCTCTTGACCTTGACCTTGAACCTAGCTCATTGTTTTAAACAGTACTATCGTCATATGTGTATGGATGGAAACCTGATGCAATGAAACAGTTTAAAGAGACCTACCATTAACTTACTGCTCATAGGTTGAACTCGTTTAAGTGTGATATTATCTTTAGCTAAAGCATCTCACTAATTACGGAAGTTGGAATTTCAAACGTTAGGATGTGCTAGCTTTACAAGACAATCTACATATGTTGACTGGGAAGTTCACCCTCAGCTTGATCCTCACCGGTATTTCCTACTGTACATGATCAGTCAGTCTCACAAACAGTTTTTAAAAGTTATAAGCCGCGTTCTGTCATGAGTCGCACTCTTCGAAAGCTAGAACTCAAAATGTACTGTTGAGAGATGTATAAATGAAATAGTTACGACAACACCTATAGACAGTCTAAACAAGTAGGGAATCACTGCACAAAGTCAGTAAGAAAACATGGGCTCCAGTATCAGATAGGGCTAATCGACAAATTTGTCTCTAATCTGAAAAGCTTGAAGATCGTGGAGGTATCCAGATGTTAACAACGTTTTTACACATAACACCTTCATAGTTTAAGTAGGCTAGCCCAGTCAAATCAGAAATCAGAAGTGAAGAGGTTCAAAGATATACTTGTAAGATTATCGATATATCGAGAAGCGTCTTGTCAAACCGGCTAGCGGTTGCAAGGGATGCGTAGCGTGGTGTATCCACTGGTGGTCTGGTGTGGATTCGTGACCCAGCGTCTTCACCTAGGCATGTCCAGTAAAACTATTGAGGTCGAGATGAAATGCAGAAGACCTACAGAACTATTTATTTACCACTACAGTCCCCCCGTTAGTGCGGCAGTGATTGTAGGATGTAATTTCTCCTGCCGATATACTACTAGAGCCGTAAACGCGATATTGACCTTCCTAGTTTCCGCGAAAGCTATAGTCTGAACAAGGACGACTGGACTTCAAATTTTTTTTCCTAAATGTAAAAACAATTTGATTGGTACAATAAATAAAGGAATTATAGTCATTAAGTGGAACGCATAAAATTACCGACTAGTATTGCGTTTCTTATCGAAACGAATAAAAATTATGTTTCATACTGATATAAGAGGACAAAAATGTCCTACAGGTGGCAGGTTATATACAAGAGGGATAGTCTACAGACACATAGGAACAGATTGATGTGGTGGGCGCTTAAACAACGATTTGATTGGCTAGTTGTGTACATAACGAACATCTACCCCACAAGCGGACACCATGCTAAGGCTTTACCATTGTCACGTTCATTTATCCGGATTCTTCCAGTAGGTATAGGTTTCGTATATCCCGGTTGATCTCTCCGGTTGCTATCTTCAGCCGAACTGTTCTGACTCGTCCATCTAAACCATAATTGGCCTGTCTAACTACAGCTTTCGGCCACAGATCTCTCGGCGAGCCAGAATTGTTTACTAACACTAAATCTCCCGGCTGTAGATTGCTCCTCTTGTCTAAGCACTTGGATCTCGCATAAACGGTTGGTAGGTACTCTCGTAACCATCCATTCTAGAATAGGTTGAGTAGTTGTTGCGCTTCCTTCCATCTCCTATTGTATAAGCCCGTTTCACTTATATGTGTTTCTTCGAATGATACACCTCTGTGAACTAACAATAACTTATTTGGCGTAATTACATTCAGATCATCACAGTCATTAACTAACTTTAAGAGTAGTTGATTGGTCAGTATCCCTTCAGCCGATATTAAAAACGTATCCAAAGACTCGTCCGTCAATAAATTCTGAAACAGTAGTGATTGTAAAATTCTTCTTACTGAGTTTGTGATGCGTCCCCATACACTGCCTCATTGACTAGCTCTAGAAAAGTTAAAGCGCCACTCACAACCCTCTTCTAAAAGGACATTTTCCATCTTATTCTGGTCCCAAATACACACACTCTAAGACTAGCATTGGCTTCTTTAAAAATAGTTTTCACATTTAGTCGTCGATAGTCATCAGTTAGATAGCAATCATTGCTGTCCGTTTCGGGAACCATGTGTAGGAGAGATGCCTATAGACTGTTTGGTGGCCGAATGATTCCTAAGTCGATCGTGTGGTCGAATTCGATTTTAGCCAACCTCAGCTTTCGAGGAGCTAGTCGGTGCACTTTTGAGAATACACGTGGTGCTGTAGTCGTGATGTAGTATGCAACGTCACTGGTTTTGAACTGTAATTTTGGTTGCGTTTGGTACAGATCGAGGTAGTTACTGAGTATCTGTCGAATCTGCTGGTCGATTTTATGCTTAAGCGTAACTAGACATAGCCTACAACCACATAATGAGATTCCACAAACACGTAACTTGTAGCGGGTCTACACCAATGGTTAGCATAGAAATATCTATAACAATGAAAATCCGGTGAGTGGGTTCGCGATAACACACGTTCAGATAAATATATCGCTCATAGTATGTGGCGATTGGTTTTCGATCTGGTACCTGTTAGTTGTTATACTGGTTCGTAAAGTCGGTCACTAGTATTCGTGAAAACAACGCTTACTCTTGCGCTCGTGTGGACGGGGTAACGAGGCTTCATCATCATATCACCAACTTATAAAAGACAGCCATGTTCTCCAGCTTCAATATCCGTTAGCGCGTGCCGGTGGACAAGCTTCCTGAAAGTTTAGTTGTGACAGGCGTTTCGGGGCTTAGGAAACAGTGCGGTATTCCGACATTTCTAGGAGACTTGTTTTAGTACTAACACCAATCAGATTTATCTGCCCGTCGTGGTCCAGAAACGGGTCATTCTCGTGAAGGACTTTTTCGAGGATTTACGAAGCGCTTGTGGTTATGATGAATATAAAAACAAAAGTGAGATTATCTGTTAAAACGCTTGTTAACACCTTTACTACTGTGAGGAATTGAGCCCGCGGGTCTATAACACCATGCTCGAGAAAGTCGGATTTTGTGTAACGGAACCGGAATTCGACGTTGCCGGACCAGAATGGCATGAGCTGAAGGGAAGGAGGTAAAAGAGTCTTTCATGCCTTTAGGTGACCATCGTTCATTTGGTAGAACAAACCAGACTAGTAATGAATAGGTCTTTATTTTGATCGTGGGAATGTCAGGATGGGGCGGTCGGCTACCTGTCAAAACACACAAAGCTTTTCAACATTCGATATAAGTTAACGAAAAATCTAGTGCTTATACGAAATAAGAAGGTGAACTGATACTTGAGCTCAATTGTTTTGACATATACTTAAAATTATCATATGCTCACTAATGACGGCCTCCAAGAGGTATTTCCTGGAGTTCCAGTGGGAACAGCGGCCAGTGTAGTTCAACCGAGTCTGTTGTGAGATAATAACTCACTGGAGACATTGATGGATGTGTCACTCAAGTTCCTGGATTGATTGAAGTTAGATATTAAAACTGTTGGATGCCAGTTCAGTGGTTTAGGAATTAACCGCTCGCGCACGAGACTGATAGGTCCTGCGTTCGAATCTCTCTAGGGGGAGCGGGATCGTGGATGCGCACTGCTGAGGAGTCCCAAAATAGGACGAAACGGCCTTCTAGTGCTTCCACGTTTTCCATGATGGTCTAGCTTCAATTCATCCATGATCTCAAACATTGAACTTGCCATGATATCCACTAAAACCCTTCTCTGATTACATACTTATTTGTTTGAGTTCGACTCTAATCTAATCAACCTTAGCTGTTAGAAGTCTTAATCTTTAACGGTTTGGGTGTCTGTTTTGTCCCCATGAGGATAAAATATAAAAATGGGCGAAAAAAAGCCAAGAACACAAAATTGACATCATGATATATAAAAGTAAAAATTAAAATTGATAATTAACGCTACGAAAATGAACGGACTCACAGTTTGCTGTTTGGTGTATTAGATCACATCGGGTTTACCACTGAAAATTCCATACATATTCAGGGTTTGAGAACGCATTTATACACAACACCATTAGAATTGAAGCATACCAATCTAGTCAAATGAGAATTTTGAGGATATATTTGAAAAAGTTATCGATATGTCGAGAAACGCTTGATCTAGGCTGTCTAACAGTTGAAAGGGATGAGTTGCAAGGCGTATCCATTCGTGATCTGGTGCGGATGCGTGACCGTGTCTCCAATGTATCTAATTAGGTCAGCGTCAACTTCAAAGAAGTATTTGTTTTGAAACGTATATACCTCTACAGACAGCTTGGATGAAATGAGAAGATCCGGATCCCTCAGATTACGTAGGCCTTCTATGTTGCTGAGAACGACCTTGAATTACTTATGTTTGTCAGTATTTTGAAGGAAGTCTGTATTGAACCTTTGTAATGTTGTTTCTTCAGTCGTCCATCGTTTCTTTAGCTTCAGTTTTCTTCTTGATAACCACCAGGTAGATGGTGATCTGAAGCTATGCCAGCTCCTGTTCTTGTCCTCACGTCTCCCACTGACTTTGTGAATATTTTAGTAATGCAAATATGATCTATCTGGTTCTGTGTGTTGTGATCCAATGAAACCCATGTAGCTTTGTTTATGCGTTTGCATGGGAATATTGTGTCGCCTATAACCACTTTGTTTAACCAAGCTAGCGTTCCTTTATCGAGATTATTTTCTGCGAAATGGGGTTGCCCACAGCATGCCCAACGCTTCTTCCGTACCTGGACTTGGAACCTGCAGTAACTGTAGAAGAGCTCCAGGTGGAGTTAGTAAAATAGTGAAACCATAAAATATTGACAGGAAGGTGCGTTTGATAGATATTCTTAGTAATAACAAAGTTTACATATTAGAAATACCTAAAATTTCATCAGAGGAGTGATATATAGATGGTTAATGAAATTATGCTTTAACTAAATAAACTGGTCAAAAAATCTGTCCGGATTTTCGTTTGAAAGAGATTTACAGCTTTCAGAAACATGTAGTTTAGAAGGTATTAAACAGTTAAAGCTGACCTCGTTAACGAAGTTATGTACCCGATGGTAAACTGCCAAAAATGTTACTTTTGATATCTCACTTGGCACATGAATTTTTTTGTACACTTCCTAGATTAAGCCATCTTGCCTTCACTTTATTACGTCCTCAAAAAAGTATGTCCCCTTTAAATCCGTGTTATCTTTATCGTTGAGAGGATGGTACTTGTATAGAAAATCTGAGTACATGGTTTTTAAACGTAGTACTAGAGTCGTTTAAAATATGTTCTAAGTTGGAAACAAATGTATGGGGTTAGTAGTTTTTGTCTAGTATTTCATCGTTAAGTAAACAAGCTATTTTACAGATGATTTTTCATCGAGTTGATTTATTCATAGGTAGTTTTATTTTTTGCACTATCATATAGAGAAGATAGATAAACAAATATGTAATATGTTTACCATATATTAATCATGATAAACAAAATTTTATTAAGTAGAAGTAAGGAAATTAAACTAGACACAAGGTCACATTCTTTAAGTGAATGATCCCCATCATCCTTAAAAGAATAATCTTTAAATGAAGAATATTCTTTTCGATCAATTCTCTTCAAGTTCTACAATCCAATATATCCATATTAATAATCCCCCCAAAAAATGGTCAGATTAAGGGCAAAGTACATCGTTTAAAGTTATGGTATGTAAACTGTAGGATTGTCAAACAAAATAGAATAAAGCTGTTCATGTTGATATGACTTATATGGAATGTTAATTTGAATCAGCTTATATGTTAAGTGAAATTGTTAAGTTCCCATGATTAGAATAAATATGGATCAGATAGGGTGAGAGAAATAATGGTGCCATTATAATTCGATCAAACGTTTAGTGGAAGACTATATTGTGTAAAAAATGATTAGTAATACATATTAAGGTGGGATGAATGCAAAGCAAATGAATCCTGGATTGGGGAGATTAATAACCAATAATAATAATGTGTAAATTACCAACGTAAATGATCTATGTCAAATGACTGGGGGCCTACTCCAGTTAGACGGGAATGGTATAACCAACAACTAACGTAGAAATTACATCTCATAGTCAGCACCTAACGTGGATTATCCCTTCGTCGTATTGAGGTACTATGGATGGTACAACACAAAGGACGTTATTATGGAAATATATTAGTAAGAATGAGTATAGAGTAGATAGTAAGACCACCACCACATTGGCCAGTCCATGGCATACGATTAACCGATGCGCGTTGTTTGTCTTTGACTTTGTTAGGGATCGATGACATGTTCAGTAATCAGTGACCCAACTGTCGGATGAGTTGGCTAGGGCTCAGTGACATTTCACCGTCTCTATAGTATACAAAATTGGTCAAGTGAAATCATTTATCCGTAGGATTTTAGATGAACATTGATTGGTTGGAAAAAATAATTTGAAAACTTGCCGCTAATAACGCTCTTTTTAGAGAGTAGGAAATTTTCCTCTTCGAAACTCCTATAACTTTCTCACGTTTGAAATCAATGTTCATATAAAGTGTTTTCGTTGAAACCGAGATTAAAACTATTATTAGTTTCTCTGATAAAAATAACGTTTTAACACTTTTATTTATTCTGCCTCACTGTTATCATGTTTAATAGAATTAGAAAATCACAATTAATCGACTGTTGAAGAAAAAATATTATATTTTATATGTGGGCAACTAAATGCGTGGGTGCTATAACATACAAACACACGACAACGTTATGTGCCTTATCAGTACACGGTACAAGAAGGAGATTTAAACTATGTACCAAAGTTACTTAATTTAGTAGTAGATATTAATGGTAGTAAGGGTGAGTTTCGATAACTAACATCATTTCGAGTGAAGCATTATTCTGGTGATTACAATTCCATGTTTAAGACAGAAGAATAAAACTATGTTGACAGTTAAATTAGTGAATGTTGTAGCGTCAAGATAATCCACATTTCAAAGTTCAATGAAATAGTCACAACCATAATTTAAACATAGTTTGCAATAGATTTGTTATATATATATAATAACTCACTGAAGACAATGATGGGTGGTGGCTCTATTTCGTGGACTGGATGAAGTTAGACAATAACACCATTGGATGCCGACTCACTGGTCTAGAAGTTAAATGCTCGCGCGCGAGACCGAAGGTCCTGGTTTCGAATCCACGTGTGGGATCGCGGATGTGCACTGCTGGGGAGTCCCATGCTAGGACAAAACGGCCGTCCAGTGCTTCCAGGTTTTCCATGGTAGTTTACCTTTAATTGACTCATGAATTCAAATATAAAAACAAATATACATCCAAAATGGCACATTTCTAACTAACAGCACGATAGGTACTCAGCAAAGTTTAAAGTCGAAAAGTTGAAGTTATTGTATAAAAGCCAGCTTAATAATGATAAAATAACATACATCGGTCCTAGAAATGAATTCCTAAGCAAAAGGATAATGCCTAGCTCGAAATAATGACAGGTTTTAGAAACAACCTCAACGATCATCACAACGAAAACAATAATCTACTGCTACTACTACTCCTTGCTTTACGTAAGTCGTATATACTAATCAATAGTATAACTGTAATGTGTAAATGTACACTAAAGGCTAGACTTTTAAAAATAGATTAATACAAAAACATTATTCACAACAGTCATTTATTTTTATCCAAACAGTTTATCCATGTTAGTTTATTCATAGTGTCGTTAAGGTTCATAGCAGTAAACCACAATCTAAGTGTTGGATATCAACAGTTTAGTGACAAAATACATATATGTCTTGTGTTATAATGTCTATCCTATTTGTATCCACAATGTGTGTTTATGATGTGCATATGATTTTCTTTACAATTTGCACATATAAATATATATGATATAATAAGAATAGGAAAAGGGCAAATAAATGAAGCCCATCTTATATGAAGCGTGTTAATTTCTATTCGATATGTCCCACATTTTGTTATTGTCATAATGATTGGTTTTCGGTCATAAATGAAGGGAAGGTTAAATTTCATAAAAAATGAATCTATAATCGATTAAGCCAAAAAAGGATAGTACATACTAGTAAACATGGATGGACGATTATTTTGATGTGTAGGCACATAAATAATTTAGAAACAAAAACAAAACCTTTCAAGGCTACAACAGCAAATATTGATAGAAAATTTTACACAATTTTGAAGGTGACTATAATTTGAAATCGTGAACAATTTTCATTATAAAATCTTTCGTCAAATAGATTGAATCTGAATTTTTTTTCTAAACTCTGCATTAACCCTCAAAAAAGGTAACTAAGAGGAAAAAATGGCTAATCGAATGAGCGATATGGGTATGGATGTACAGATCAATCGTCGAGTAAGTTAAGTACCAAATTATTCTCAATTATCATATCATGCGATAATAGAGGAAACATTAAACGTATTTATTTATGTATTTAAACACATAAACATTAGTACAAGAAGGCACCAGATAGACATGCGCCACATAAATCATTCAATTTGTGTGAAAGCTGAGATATTGACCGGGTGTCCAGACCGAAGCAGGTCGTTTTCTCATGAAGCCACATCCGAAGCCTTCGACCTAAATGTCTGATCAACAAGGCAGTGGAGCAATGTCAGGAGATGCAGTCTCATGGTAGCCGGTGACCAACAATTGGTTCGTACCCCATTTGTTTAATCAGGATACTGGAGTGTGTGTGCACGATTAGTTTGGAATCAGGGTTTTCCAACTTCCCTACGTGGATCCTCTATATCCACCAACCCGGTTAAAGCGTCCGACATTCGCTTTTCGTCCTCTTAATTTCTTAAACAACAGTATTGCCACGAAAAGGTAGTGAGTAGGACTTCCTTGTCAGTGGTTATATGCACGTGGTTATGTGAGAGCATTTCGAGAGATAGAGAGATCGAACTCTCCCCATTCTTGACCGTACCAGGGCACTAATTAAAAATGAAATTTTTAATAAACTAAATCTATTTATTAATGTAATCTCCTATTTGATAAACAACTAAGGCACCATGTACAGTAGAATTTAAACATTTAGTTATAGAGTATAATCAATGGTACTTATAAGTGACCTGTTAACATTTCATTACTGTTCAACAGTTATTGATGGTATAATTTATGATCTACTTTTATGATAAGGACTTTGATCCAAACATATTAAGTTGTAGGATGATCATTATATTTCACTGTTACATAGATATTTGAATATTTAGTTTATCAAGTTATTTACTTGTCTGTTAGAGTAAATGGACTACCTATTCCTGCTAGATATAACTAATTTGTAGAGTGAGTAAAACACTCTATTTTCACCTAAATGTTCACTTAACAGACTAACAAAATATAAGAAGTGTAACTGTGAGCTGTGTGGTAGTTAATGAACACGATCTGTATAAAAAAAGAATGATTCAAAGTACTCAGGTTTATGAAGTTTAAATAATAAATAATAGATCTATACATTCAGTTATTATTTAAGAGTTTTTTCTTCGTAACTGTCAAGCGTTTGAATGGGATAAAACGTATTAATTCATGAAATAAGGATCGTGGATGCGCACTACTGAGAAGCCCCACAATAAGATGAAACGGCCGTCCAGTGCTTCCAAGTTTTCTATGGTATTCTAGTTTCAACTGAATAATGATTTCAACTATTAAAATTACTATAATATCCACAAAAAATTTAAGTTTCCCTTACAATAGTAATAGTAGTATTAGTAGCATAAAATTACCAGTTTTAGAAGAAAATGATCATTTTTATGGATGGATGTATTCGGACAATGTAATCCTAAAGCTAATTTTGCTTAACAGCTGTTTTAAATTATAGTTCAAGTATACTGACTTGATATAACAGTCATGTTTGAAGAAAGTATTCATGATTATTGGGAATTTTCTACAATTAAATGTGAGCCACGTTTATCCAAATATATTTCAGACTGTTTTAGAGGTTGAATTTTGGTGAATGAGAACACAAGTTGGAGTCACTCAAATGTATCTCAACACGTAATTACAGAAGATCTTAATAAAATCTGAAAATCATACAGTAAATACTTCATTTGCAAAATGTCTCTCAATTGTCTCAAACGTGACTGTTCCTTTTGAAAATATCAGTTAATAGTATCAGACTTCATTGTTCTTTTGTTTCCACATCAATTATCCTTTGTTCTCGTTCTCTTCTCTTCGATCATTTTAACCTTCTTCCGCCAGGCATTTCACTTTTGATTGATAATACATACTACTTATATCTGTAGACATCAGTAACACACACCATAGAATCACCTCTCTAAAAGTTTGAATAAAGGTTTACTAAAATAACACCTGATTTATTGTCTATTGAATATTTGAAGTATTCAATTTATGAATAATTTTTTCTAGCTTGAAGTATCAAATACCGGTACAAAATGTTTTTTTCTTTTTTTCACAAACAAAATGAATCTGTTTTAATAAGACAGAAAACAATCAAGTATAGTTGACACTATAGCCTATTCCCAGAGAGAACAATATTGTAATAATTCTCTTTTCCAAGGTAAGTTATATAAAAAAATTAGGTGAGAAAATATCAGGTAACCTAATATGAAAGTATAAGTGTAAGTTTTTTGTTAAGAAGCTATAATATACCTAATATTAATTAAAGGATATGTTACACCAACTTTTAACCTTAAGGTAAGATGCTAGTTGATAAGGCATTGATTAATGTGCTTACACTGGGATGTAATTCAATCTATACTTCCTTGAGAGCTATTATCAATCAATAACTATTGTGTCTTTTTTATTCTTTGGTATCAATAACTCTATATATCTTTTTGATTGAGATCATGAACCGATGGATGTTAGACCATCATTGGAAATCTGGAAGAACTGGACGGCCGTTTCGACCTGTTGTGGGACTCCTCAACAGCGCACATCCACAATCCCCCTCGCGGGATTCGAACCCAGGGCCTTCAATCTCGCGCGTGGATGCTTAATCCCTAGATCACTGAGCCGGCATCCAACGGTGTTAATGTTTAACCTCAACCAATCCACGAAATTGCGCGATCATCTCCCACTGTATTGAGGTAGATGCCTGTCTCTATCCGACACGGATTAGCTCCACTGGTCACGTGGATACGAACTGCTGATGAGTCCTGTAATAGGACGAAGCGGCCGTCCAGTACTTCTAGGTTTTCAATGGTGGTCTAACATCAATCGGTTCATGACTTAATAAATTCCATATATGTAAGATGAATTGTGTAATAAATCAAGTTTCCTCAACATTGGGATACTTTATCAATTATGCCTTGAAATTGTCCTTGTTTTTTAAGACTTGAAGTCTTTCATGTATTTCATTTTGTTTTCTATACCAGTTGAATAGTAAATATGATGCAGAGAGTGAAGCTGAAGCCATCAGTTGGTTAAATCAATTAACAAACGAAAATGTACCATTTGGCAGAGAAAATGTTGCAGCTGCTTTGAAAAATGGACAGATATTAATCAAGTAAATATGAACATTTTCTTGAGAAAATTAAAACAGGAGATATCAGTTAAAAGTACTGTTAATAATTAGAATCTTTGTCAGAATTTTTATTACGAACTTTGGTAGTCTCACTGAAGACTGGAATCAACTGTTGGCTGAATATTGTAGTTTCTTTAAGAGTTTTTTCTCTGTACTTAATACTATTCAGCTCATTTAAGCAATTCTGTTTTTGTTCTCATCAGTTTCTACAATTCCATATCAAAATGAATAATCTATAAAATTGGCCAGGTTTAATGCAAAGTAGAGTTTTTTAGAGAGTCAGTTTTCTACGGGATGAGGTCACTAACTCTATGCCCAACCCTCCTCCTTTATCCGAATTTGAGACCCAGAGGGGATCCAGGTGGAGTATGTCACTTAAAATCATTACATATGAATCAAGGATTGTTGTTTGTCATATAAAAGTCGTTCATGTTGGGGCTGACTAATATGAAGTGTTAACTTGAATCAGTTTATAAGTGAAATGAAATTGTGAGATAAATAATCAGAACAAATATGGTAAAAATGGGGTGAGAGAGAGAGAGAATAATGTAATTAAAAATGAGAACTTACGAAATATGCAGAATAATGTGAATTAGGTCAGATATAGTAGATAGAGATGGATGCTGAATAAATTTTCCAAAAAAATGTTAGCTAGCGTAATAATGAACATTGGTCAAATTGCGTTACCATGTGATAAAATTGATTACTAACTAATAAGACCCGAAGTAAAAGAAACTGTTGAACATATTTGTTTTCGATACAAAGCTTTGGCTTTTTGATACGTATAGCGATTGCTTCAGCAGTCTTCAGGATTCTACATCTGACGAATTTAGGCAGACTTCTGTTAACACGATATTTTATTGTGAAAGATTGCTTCGTATTGGTTGTATGGCGTTTTTGTACTAAATGAACTAAAATGTAGTTGTTAACAGTTTTAACTACACCTTTGCCTAAACACACTGAGAGGTGCTCGCAAACCTGAAAAAACAAATTCTTAGAACACCTACCAATATAACTTGCTCCTCAGGAGTAGTGGCTAGTTTAGGTAATTTATCTTTCAACCTCGGTGTGATCATCTGAGGTGTAGAAAAAAACGAATGTAGTTTATCTGCAATAAATGTTCTTTGGATTACTCTGTGTAACTTTGGTCTTAGCATTTCATTGGGTGCATTACCTCAAAATTGTAATCGCATATACAGAGGCTTTTCGCTCGCAGTTAGGCATTCCTTATTGGTCAAATGTTTATTTTTAAATCGCTCCGAATATCGATTTTCTTTCAGGGTCGTATACAATGCGTTTGTATCGTCTTCAACAGCATCTAGGAAGAATATGGTCTTGATCATATAGTTATATGTCTTAATCAGGTTCCTTTTGTATTGTAGAGGAAAAAAACTAAGAAAACTTGTGTATTGGATGGTCCAAGTAGTTTTTTTATGTTTCTTCTTAATGGCCCATCTTGCCAGTAGAACATCAAGAAAGGCTATTCTACCTCTATCTTCTTCCTCACATGTGAATTTTATGGACGGATGAACTTCATTAAATCGCTCGAGTTCACAAAGAATGAACGTATCGTCCATATATCGGCAGTAAAATAAAAACTTGTCAGTCTGCCGTACCAGTTTACCATTTTCTGGTTTAGTGAGGAAAATTTCAACCAATGTGGTATTTAGGGGTGAACTCATCGCGACACCTTCTGGTTGTCGATACATTTCACCATTGAATTTGAAGTTTATGTTCATAGTACATTTTAGTAATAATTTCCCGATGATCACAGGGATTGTAGTCGTTATTCCTTGTCACTATTTCATTGAGATCATGAGCCGATCAATGTAAGACCACTCTTGCGAATGTGGAATAACTTTGTGACCGTCTCGTACTTGCATGGGACTCCCCATCAGTGCTCATCCGCGATCCCGCCCTCACGAGTCGAACCCAACCACATAATAACACCGTTGTTACTTTAGAGGTAGTTTGATATGTAGTTGATATAGAAGTATGTTTACTATTGATTGATTACTAGCTATTGACCAAGATCATGCGTGTCAAGTCGTTCTTAATGCTGGTCGAATTTTATCAACCAACTTTCAATCAGCCTACTAGTCCAAGTGACTCGATATTGCGTTCACAATGTTAAGATGGAAGGTAGTGATTTTCTAGGTTCACATTTCCTTGTAGACTACTTGCAACCACCATCTTACAAGAAAGTGTGTTTGAAATGCCATCCGGACAAACAATCGTCATATCAAGATGATGAGCATGTTATGATCTATGTAAAGTTCAGTGTAAATAAAGTTTTCAGCATACACAACAATAAGAATACTACCCTTATTTTAAAGAGATCTGAGTAATAACAGTATGATTCAGTTGCAAAAATTTACTTCTAACGTTATTGGTTGTTTTTTGTTATATTATTTTGTTTATTTGTTAAATAAAATTTCACTTGAATGAATCCCTATGTCATCCAATAAATAGGTTGATTAATGTCGTGTTTGATGGTACTGCATCACTTCCATCGGCTGCAGCTAAAATGAAAAGACCATTCAAAGCTAATACAATGACCGCTCCCTTTAAACAGGTAAGTAGAATTGTAGGTTGAGAACGAATAATATTATTAAAATTACGTAATGTCTAGTGGCCTATAAAAAGAAACTTTTTTTACTTTTGACAGAGTTTTATTCTCTGAGCTGGATGGTTTTGGTCGTGTTTATTTGAGAATCTTATAATGTGGATTCGTTATCATTAGGTGTATCATTTTTCTCCCACTTCGCTCAGTTATTCTCCATTCCAATGGGTAGTTGATTGGAGGTCTGTATCTTGTACTTGTTGATAGAACATGGTGAGGAAGACACTCGTGGAGAAAATACAGTTACTCTTGAGTAGAAGCCTGTCTTTTAGCGAAATTACCCCATTTTTGAACAACGAGAAGCGTATTACGCTCATATGATTTTAAGATGGTGGAGAAGATTTGTAGCTCAGATGGATGATTTTGATGAAGTTTTGTTTTGGTTCACGATCAAACCATCCAGCTCAGAAAACTCCACTATCAGCGTTATATTTCAGATATTTATCTGTTATCATCCGATCGCTAATTAAGCATAAATTTTTAATATCACTTCCTCCCTCCTCCTCAAATTGAAAACTTCTCTTATGAACTGATTTGTAATAATGTGAGCAGCCACATATTGTAGACTCAGCTGAATATTATAAAAATAAAACTGAGAGTAATGAACTTGAATTTAAAAAAACTTTCTGGGAATTTCGGGTAACATTTGGTGATTAGATCTGAATTGATGATGGCTTCAAAACTATCTATGAACTTATTTTTATCATTGCCCGATCCCAGTTCATTGTTGCATGGTACCTTCCCATTGAATTGAGCTTGAAATATTTTTCGCTAACTTATTTTCAACTTTGGCATGACTGAATCATTAGAATAAGCAGAATAGGACATTAGAACGTACTTTTGTTGGTCTCTTCTTTCACCCTAAAACTATTCTTCATTTCAATGAGAAATTTATTTACATCATAAAACATATCGGCACGGTCAGGACGTTAAGCCATGGGTTTTCTCGCACATGTTACATATTGTCCAGGATTTGGGAGATCGTTATTTATCAGCTATTAGCAATATGTTTTCCGTCACACTTCAATTTGCATAAAGTTTGTGCTTGTTACACAGCTTTTATTCTAGTTTATTGGTAGTATGGCGTATTTGTTGCTCACAACAACACCCACAGTACTTGAAATACGGAATCACGGCCTCTTGTGAGGCCGTTCAAGGTAGTTGAAACAGAACTGCGAGCAGCTTTGAAAGGGTCTGTCTGCCATCATATCTCTGGTTTATGTGTACAATTTTGAATTTGATTGTTTGGGTATATGTTTCTTAATTGGCAAATGAGATTTAACAAAAACGCTTCCATTAAACTGATGAACTGATTTTACTTCTGTAGCATAAGATCATGTATTTAAATTCGTAACTGTGTCATCTAATGAAACTAGTGAAACGAAAAACAGAAGTTCTGTTACGATTGAATACTATATTTGAAGGTCAAATTATACTGAAAACTAGGTTGTAATTAAGATTAGACATGAAAAAGATTGAGATTTGTAGATTGACTTCGTCACCACTATTATTTCCTTCAGATTCATACTTGTCTGAGTTATTGGTGAAAGAAACAAAGTTAATAAAGGAGCAACTGTTGCCTAACTCATATTCTTTGTAGACTATATATACTGTTATTTATGTGCAATTATTTTAGATGGAAAATATTCAAACTTTTCTTAATGCAGCAGTAGCCTATGGAGTACCCCGAGCTAGTTTATTTCAAACCGTTGATTTGTATGAATTACGCAATATGCCACAAGTTTTAAATACATTACTACAACTTGGAACTGAGGTTAGTTTAGTGAATAATTACATTGTTATAATTTTTTTATTACGACTCAGTTATTCCTATTGCATACTATTTTTGGACAAGAATTCACTTGATAAGTCGCCAAATCAGAATACGGTTAAACAGGAATGAAATTACATTCCAAATAACCAGAATAAATGGAAGTAAGGAGCAGAATAAGAAAAAACGTTAGTATATTTATAGTTTTTACATGAGAAAATTCTAGAGTCTTCTCCAAGTATTCACTAGCGCTGATTGGATAAGAAATAGCCAGTCAGTGTACCAACACAATCGTGCACGGAATGTGCTTTAATCTAATCTACATCCCGCTAACATACATATTTTATTTTTATAATTATTTGTTGTATCTCATTTATTTACCATGAAATTAAGTATAAATTGAGTCAAACTATTTATCAAAAATCTTATTCGGCCGATCGATAGTATTGCAGATCGATTGTAATCCTAAGCAACAATGGGAAGATACAAGCAAACAGCACCAGGGGGATTTAAACTTCATCCCACTGCACAAGTGGGTGGCTATCAGGATTCAGTAGATAAGTGGATAAAGCCTTGACATTTGAAGCGAACAATACTGGGTTCGAGTCCCTGAGTGAACATCAACACCGGGATGCATGTACATCCAGTTGACGAGTCCCAAATAGGACGAAACGCGCGTTCTCATTGACTAAAGTCATGTTCAACCAAAGTCATCAATTTATGGTCTACAGAAATTCTTTCATTCAATTTAGTTGTATACCGAAAATAGAAACTACCCATATTATTCAGAGATAAAGCCATATCAAATTATGTTAGTTTCACATCTAATTTGAGGCGATACTAGTAGCATAAGGACTTGAACCAAACCATCTTTTAATTCTCAGTACACACCAACCACCACATTTCATTGTCTCTTCAACGTTGGTCGTTTTACATAATGTTAGCCTAATTGTGTACAAAAAGGAGTTATGTTTATTTTATTTTCCGTGTGCTAATTGTGATATATTTTATGAATGTGTTGATAACATTCAGGAGCATAGTAAATTGTATGGCTGAGTTTTACAATCACTCAACGGTTCTTGAACAGATGCTAATTGAAGGCAAACATTTTTTCCACATTTTTAAAGCACTTAAATAAACTAACATTGGAAGATCGTTTTCTTTAGAAAGCTACATCAACCGTCGAGCAACTGCGACATGATTCCAAAATGTTTTGAAGATATTTAAACTACTTAGTTAGCCATAAGTAGATAAACAATGAAAACATAAAACATTTTTAGGATAATCAGTGATATTTTAATTTACCACAAAGTCATGATGAAGAATAAAGCCATATTTAAGAATGGGTCTTATTACAAGATATTTTCTGTCTATACATGCGTGTCATAAAACACTTACTTGGTATTTATAACAGGTGAGGATCCTTACATCAGCGGAGCTGGAGAAGGTGCTTAAAGGATAGTTGAGGTACCATGTGAAATAAAGTTTGGAGTTGACGCCGTTTCGGACCGAGATGCATACCTTCAATCGGTAACTATCCGTATTTGCAATAAATGGTTTAGGATGCCTAGATGCTTAGAATATTAGGTGTTTGATTCAGACAAGTCTGATTTTGATGAATCAGAGATCGCAATCCAAACAGCTTTGTTCGATTAACCGTTACAAGTCTACTGGCTATGTCATTGTGGAGAACTGCTTGGAATTCTTACCTCCAAATACTTTATACATTCTAACATAGTTTTATATTCCTACTGATTATTAACGATAGTAAGAGAGATAGAATTAGGTGGGAATTTTGTTTCGAATCTTGATTGAGGATACTAAATTTTTTTCATAATCAGCAATTTTGTATTCAGATACAAACTGTTTCATATCAAATGAATGTTACAGTGTTCATAAGATCTTTAATAATTACTGTTTAATATTCGATAATGCCTGAGGGAAATATTTCTTCTTCTCAAATAGTGTCAACGTAACAATTTTAATGGACCCGTATGTGGCCCCAAGCCAACTTATGAAAATAAACGTGAGTTCACTGAAGAACAACTTAGAGCATCCGAAGGCATAATTGGTTTGCAAGCTGGAACTAATAAATGTGCTAGCCAAGCCGGAATGAGTCATGGCGGACCTCGACATATTACAGATATTAAAGTGGATGCTGCTTCAAAAGAAGGCCAGGGTGTTATTGGTCTCCAGATGGGCTCAAACAAAGGTGCTACTCAAGCTGGAATGAGTCATGGTGGACCTCGACATATCACCGATATTAAAGTGGATGCTGCTTCGAAAGAGGGTCAAGGTGTTATCGGTCTCCAGATGGGCTCAAATAAAGGTGCTACTCAAGCTGGAATGAGTCATGGTGGTCAGCGACATATTGCAGATATCAAAGTTGGTGATATGTCAAAAGAAGGTCAGGGTATAATCGGTCTTCAGATGGGTTCGAACAAAGGTGCTAGTCAAGCTGGAATGAGTCATGGTGGTCAGAGACATATTGCAGATATTAAAGTTGGTGATATGTCAAAAGAAGGTCAAGGTGTCATTAGCTTACAAATGGGCGCAGGTAAAGATCAAGTGGCTTCACAATCTGGTATGAGCTTTGGAGCGCAACGTCATATTGTTGATTCACATTAAAACAATCATCAATTGCGTCTAATCTTCATTTATTTCATAAGGCTTTCTGCTTATTTACAATTACATCATCAGAATTATCATTCCTATCTTACCCTATTACTGTTATCAATATGCTTATCATTAAGCCCTTTTCATATGACCGTCAAAATTGATCATATTTACGCTTAATATGATAACTATGATAGTAAAGAGGAAGTAAAATGTTCAAAGAGAATTAATGCAATCTTAAAGGGTTAAACAATATTTCATACTATTTATTGTAGAATGAGACAACTATAGAATGTTCTTTTGGTGTTTTTTGCTTTTTAACTATCAAAATGTTATTCATGTATAATTAAATCTTTATTCCGATATTAAATAAGAAATATAATTTTTCCGCCTTTCACTATTTAAGTTTATTGTTTACTATTTATTTCAAAAGTAACGCTTCATTAAGGTTTTCTCTCTCTCTCTCTCTTTCTCTCGAAAAAGTTGTTGCTATGACACTCTTCATGATTTACTTTTACTTTTGAGGTCAGTTTTGATCCATAAAATTGACCAAAAAATGATTTTTTTTATAATGTATTTATTCACATTGTCATGGATCTGTTTTACCACTGCTTCTCTGCTATCACTATTAATAATAATAATAATAAAAGGTTTGTAATAAATAGTGTTCCATTAAAATTCATTGGTTAGAATGAATTTCAGCAAACCTCATTTATGAGATATCAACTCACTGATAACAATAGTGGACGATGGCACGACTTCGTGGATTGGTTGATGTTAGACAATTACACCGCTGGATGCTGACCGGCTCAGTGATCTGGTGGTTAGGCGCTCGCGCACGAGACTGATAGGTCCTGGGTTCGGATCTTACGGGGCGGGATGGTGGCTGCGCACTGCTGAGAAGTCCCACAATAAGACGAAACGGCCGTCCAGAGCTTCCAGGTTTTTCATGGTGGTTCAGCTTCAATCGACTCGTGATTTCAACAATTAAAAAGACCTCACTAATTTTAACAAAAAAATCCAATTTGACATGAATATCTCATAGGTTTGGCAGTAGGTTGGCTGTTATATAATCTACAAGCTATCGGCTTATATCTTGTTGCCAGTGCTATTTTGATTTGATTTAAAGTAGCTAAAGACAATCAACATGGTGATGAAAGCTTGGGTTTCATGATAGTTGCTACTGCAACAGATGCCCATATGTAGTTCAAAAAAGTATCACGAAATGTCTCAGTCAAAGATAATATTACTAGGATTTATGAACGACAACTAACCTAATTTGGGATTGAGACTGGTACACTAATAAGTTATTTAGTAGCAACCATTCTCAAATCCTCTATCTCTTAATGTTAATTGATTTCAACAAGTTGCATGGCAATATGGCAACTATTCTCAGTAAATTAACATTGACATGAAATTCATTTGGCTTTGGGTGGTTAGTTTCGATAAGCAATAAACGTTGAACTTGGAATTCGATAGAAAATCTAAAAACCTGACAATATGATACTGGTTATGGCTAAGTGACCACTTAACATTTAAATAACTTAACCCGATATTATGCTTTCTCCCAATTTGTTTCCAAAGACTAAACACTAAATAAATGATGATACAGTTTCGAAGTATTGATAATAGAATTGAATTCATATTTAGACTGATGGAATTTGTTCAGTGCTGAAAACCAAGAAGACCTAACATTGGTTGAAACATGATGATGTACAGATACAGATGTATTTTTCTAACTTTACTCGTCATATCTGTTAAAATGTGTGCAATGGTTATTATTAATATTATTATCATTAGTGGCTTTATCCAATAATACAATATAAAATCCTCAGCATAAAGTATTTCAACAAGTTTCCGTTTCTTACTTCTTGATCGATCATGACAGTAAATATTGAATGGTCGTCAGTTAGATGTCGGCAGTTCAGGAATCAACATCTGAATAATGTACATTCTTTTTGATGCATATTGTTAGCAACCATGATGTCTCAGATTGGGCTCTTTCCTAACTTGTAAAGCGAAATGTCCTATACTTTTCACAAACGCTCCTGAATAAGTTATGAGACTAATGGGCATAATGATGTGTAATAACAACAAAAAGAATAGATAGCTTGTTGAAATATCTAGATGGTAGAGACAAGTAACCCAAATATTTGTGCAGACCGCAAGTTCTACCACAGATTTAGTGAATGTTATTGTATATTGTATTCAAAATTTTCAATCATCAAGACTGATTAATTAGTGAATGAAGGATTATTTTTATCTACTTCAATTTTGGGTCAGTTCTAACTTGTGAAATTTATAAAATTCATGATCTAAATTACAATAAATGTGATTTAAACTGAATGATTAAATGTCTATGATTGAAATATTTTGAACGTAAATATCATCCCCCCCATACACACACATACACTCAACATACTTCTTCGTGATCATATCAAGAAATAAGTGGTTCTTATCAGAAATGAGGTTTTGTGGAGATTATAGTAATTTAATAGTTGAATTCATGAGTTCAGTGCACCGAAACCAATCCACAGATTAAACATTAAACCTTTAGATCTAGTAACGAACATACTATCTTCAAACCACTAATTTAAGACTTTTAAGTTCACATAGCTAACTTCATTCAATTCGTGGTATTAAACGATAAATATCTAATACTTCGTAATATATTGCATGTTTATAGTTTAGTTGTTCATTGGCTTATAGAAATCATAATGATATCCTGTATATATTTGAAATAAACAACGTGAGTCCTTTCCTAGACATACTTCTAAATAAATGAGAAGATGGCTCAAACAAACGATCCATTTTTAGAAAACCAACGTAGACAGGTCAATACCTTACTTATTATAGTTATTGCCCTGTGCAATACAACCGGAGTTTGATAAGGTGCCTATTCAATAGGCTTGTACAAATGACGCTATTGATGGTGATTTTACGTTGTTAAAAGAAAATAATAATGGAAAATAGTAATCCCCTTAAGTTCATAAATAGATAGATAGTTCATGGTACAGTGAGACTTACTATAGCTTTGGCAGAAAAAAAGCTTGTCTACATCACCTTACCATTTAGAGGTGATTCAAATAGCCTTTTATTGAAACAAAGACTTAAATCAATCATTAACAAGATATATTGTGCAGCAAAGGTCATTATCAAAGTAACAACAAAGTTCATGTTTCATCGAAAACCTAAAAGACAAGAAAACGATCGCATCATATCTCATTGTGTTTACCAATTTAAATAGGAGGAGTAATCGTGATCTCAAAATCAGATTGTGTGAACATGTACCTAAATGGTTGCAGGAACAAATAGAATCAAATAACCCAATAAGAGTAGGGGATAAACATCCATCATCCTCTATTGCCAAACGCATAACATAACACAAAAGACTGATCTTAACTCGGCTTTTGTGGTGTTGTATAAAAGTGTAAAAGGGCGTATACTAAAGTTCAATGAAGCCTTAGCCATGCGAAAATTCAAACCCCCTTTGTGTATTCAAAAAGAAAACAGTTTGTTCTCACCCATAAACCCACCCTGATATTACTAGCCCATTATTATCCAGTGATGAGGTCGAACATTATTATGTTCTTTATTATTCATGTCTCCTCTTACTATCCATTTCTCTTCTAGTTGACTTAAGAAGTATGTTATGTGTGATCAGATTGTATGTCATTGTTAATCACAATCTCTTACAAAATCTTCAATGAGAATATTTCTAATCTCTTCATCATCTCAAAGAGCAGTTGGACATTTTTTCTGTATTCTCATGATTTCTTTATCATTGACAGGTGTGTTATGCTAATTATTCTATAAACTTTTTGGTCTGTATTCAGTATACTTTAGTGGCCCCTTATCTGACTCTAATTGGATCGTATGAATGTTATTGAATGATTACTGTTAAACTATACGTATCTATGCAAAGATGAATTGTGGCCAATAGTGGAATCCAGGACGCGCGTTTTGTCCTATTTGGGACTCGTCAACTGGATGTGTCTGCATTACAGAGCTGACGTTCACTCCGGGACTCGAACCCAGTACCGTTCGCTTCAAACGCCATCACTTTATCCACTTAACTACTGAGTTTTGATAGACAATCCGCACAGGATGCACATATGCCAACATCAGAATGATCAATTGCATTCCTAAATAACAATGGGAAGATACAAGTAAAACAACATCAAGTGAATTTTTACATACCTATCTTAGTAAATAATTTTCGACTTAATCCGTGTTAGTGAATATAACGGAATTATATAAGCTGAATACGAGAATGGATTTTAAATATGTATTTTTCACGCACTCAATGATTTAAACAGATATTCAGGGAGACGAAATAAAGAGGGAATAACGAAGCAGATTGAAGAATGCATGTGAGACAATTCGATTTACGGATAAGAAATGTATAAACAGATACGCCAGTTAATAAGTGAATAATTAAGAAGGTCGAAATGTAGCTTAAGAGGGATGAATAAATTGATCCGTCCAGAAGTTAGAATAAGTTAAATGGGTTTAACATAGCCACTGACACTACAGTACGAAGATGAATATGATTGTTTCATTTGAGTTTATATTACAAACCTAAACTGTATATTATACAAACTCAGAAATTCAGAATGTTGTTTGAAAATTGTTAAACAACAGATCAAGGGTCAGAAGATTAACTCTAATCAAAATATCATTTCAACGATTTAACAAACATCATTTATCACTATTGAACTGATTAAACTGTAATGCGGCTTCGAGTCGCGGTTGACTATGATCATCACTACAGGAAGACTACGTGCCAGTTAACCGATGAGATCCCCCGTAAGCCAAATATCAGAAGGCCGTTGATGGTTGCAGTCGAGATGTATTTGTTGGCGATCTCGTGGTGTCGAAAGAATACAGAGATCGTGTCAAAGGAGTACATGTGTGGTCACTGAGCTTAACCGAATTCATGCAAGGTCACAATCAACGGAAGAATATATGTGTTTTGGTACAGTTAAACAAACAAGTACGGTAATACAATCACTGGTACAATCGACTATAATAATAATAATTGTTTCCATAACACCAATCGCGTTCTCTTGATAAAAGTAGGTCACTACAAAACTATTATTCAAAATGAATCATAATTAAGCAAATAAATATCAATATACAAATATGAACAGTTCTCAACATATAGATTATCAAGGATGATCTCAAATTTTGATCCGATCTAAATGGTTAGATAGTTTAATCATTCACCTTTAAAATCATTATTGAATTCAATACAAAATAAAGAATTCTATAAAACTTTAACAGGATATTGAATAGCTCTAATTATGTCAAAAAAATTAAACATCTAGCACCTTTTCCATATTGATAATAATAATAATCAACCATTTATACAGTGTCTATATCATATAAACAAATTAACTTAATTCTTATATAGAATAGTCCATAGTAACATGTTGCTTACCTGTTCACAACACCTATCTATACACAAGTATAATATGAATGAAATAGATTTATGAAAAACCAAAAAAAACATCATTCATTAATATGACGGTTATATTTGTCATTATATTCATATGATGTCGTTTGATGATGATGATGATGATGATGATGATGATGATGATGATGATGATGATGATGATGATGATGATGATGATGATGATGATGATGATGATGATGATGATGATGATGATTATGATGATGATGATGATGATTATGATCATGATCATGATCATGATCATGATCATGATACAATAACTGTAATTATGTGTATAATGTTACCCTTTAGTTCCTTTTAGTATACATTTGATAATCGTGTCTGACAAGGATTCACTTAACCAAATTGAATAGAAATTAATATGTTATAGTGAATTATTATTATTATTATTATTGACTCTTGATGATGATAGTCAGTCATATAACCAAGAATAATGTTGATCTGTATTAATAATATCTAGACCATCTGAATTATCTAGATATTCCATAGATTTGAATAATTGACTGATTGATTGATTGATTAATTTATTGATTATTAGAAATAAATTGAAAATTGTAAAGATTTTGTTTGATATTTTGATTGTCAAATTTCTCAATAGTATGAATAAATACATGATACTAATTTGAAGAAAACTATACAAATATAATCCAATGAATAACTGCTCTTTAAACGACAGGGGTAAAAATTCACCTAAGTATTGTCCTTCTTAGTTTTTGAAGAAAAAGATTTATCTTGGTTCTAGTTCATTGACGAATAGATTGAGTTGGACCAAATGAATTCAAGAGATTTGTTAAGTTTAAAAAGAGTTTTCATAGTAGATTGACCATTACATAAAAAAATTATTTCAAAGTAGCATGAATATACATAACAGAATTAAAGAAAAGAGAGTTAGAAACATAGGGCGGCCTGTTTGAGCATCTAGGCTACCTGTTCCTGCCATCTAGATACTTCAACAAGTTATCTATTTTTGTTTGTTTTAATATATCATTATGTTTATTAATCGCATAACCTATCTTGGTGCATTTCTGAAAAGTTTACAACCTTTCGTTGTCAAAGTTACAAAAAGCCCAATAAGAGATAATGTGGTCGCTGGCAATATGCAGAGAAAAGAATATACATTATTGAGATGTTCATTTACTGAACTGCTAACATCTAACTGGTGATCACTCAATATTTATCACCACGACCGACCAAGAAGAAAGAAACGGAAACTTGTTGAAATACTTTACGCTGAGAATTCTATATTGTACCAAAAATATAATAGTGAATAAAGCTGATGATAATAATAATAAATAGTTAATGAATTTCTTTTATTAAATTATATGGATAACTTGTTGGTTTTATCTGAGAAAAGCATTTATCACAAACATCTTAACTAAAACCACTTATTTACTTACACTTGTTACTCTTCGTCGAGGAGCGTGGGCTGCCCACCAGCACTCTCCATCCAACACTGTCCTGGGTTAACCTTTCCAGCTCTTTCCAGTTGTCATTCATCCGTTTCATATCTGATTTCAATGCCCGACGCAGTTTTCTCTTCGGTCTTCCTCTTTTCCGCTTCCCTTCAGGATTGCAAGTTATGGCTTGCCTTGTGACGCAATTTAATTGTTTCCCTAATGTATATCTTATCCACTTCCAATGTGTTTTCCTAATTTGTTCTTCATTTGGAAGCTGGTTCGTTGTCTCCCACAGTAGGGTGTTGCTGATGGTATCCAGTCAATGGATCTTGAGTATCTTGCGTAGACATCTATTTATAAATACTTGTACCTTCTTGATAATGGTTGTGGTAGTTCTCCAAGTTTTACCTCCGTACAGTAGTCTAGTGAGGCTCTTTATTTTGTCATCATTTAGATCGGACGATGTTGACGATGGGCTCTCCAATTCAGTGGCTCAGGATCTGACTCCAAGTAGATCGTATGAACGATTGCTATTGAATAATTGCTGTCGAAATGTATATGTCGCCTATCCTCGTATATAATCATTGACTTAAATCGCGTTAGTCAATAACGCAGTTAATACATATATTTATATATGAAACGAATGGAATAAAGAGAAGCGAAACGATGCCCAGTGGAGATGGCGAGTAAGCCAACCCCATTTAGCCAAGAGTTAATCAATGTTTATGGTCACACAACAATAGGCTACAGACTTGTGATGAATAAGATAAAAAGTGTACACACATGTACACGCTCATATAAAAACAGTCAAGGTTGATAGGCGAATAATTAAGAAGGCCAAAATATGACTCAATTAGAGTGAATAGATTGGCATATGGTATATGGTATATAGGCTTAACATAATAACTGACACTACAGTAGAACTGTCTCGACTCACATATTGAAGATTATGATTTTGATATTGGTTAGTAAATAATTGGAGTTCCATATGTTCTTCAACTGTAGGGATGAGGATCTTGCTTTGCCAACACTCGCCCTTACGCCTGCATCGAATCCTTCTTGTTCATCGATGATGCAGAACATATCATGTACTGAAAGTTTACACCTGTTCCAGTGTTTCTCTATCAAGTGTGATTGGTTTGGTTGCTGTTTTCTGTGTTGTATTTTAGGATCTTCAGTTTTTCTTTGTATATATTGAGGCCCACTGATTCAGAGGTTGCTGCTAGACTAGTGTCACTTAAAAACTGTAACTTACAAAAGTTATCGTTCACCAACGCACATAGTTATTTCATTTACGATTATTCAATATAAACAGCAATATAACAACGAAAGAATTATATCAGAAATCATCTGCAACTTATGCTTTAACACATTTTTAATAATAATGCAATGAAAAGCTAAATAACTATCGTTACACTAATTCCATGAAACATTAACATTGAAAGAGCTGTTTTTAATTTTTGATCTGTAAAAGTGTCAATCTTAATATACAAGAATATCATGTTGAGAATGTAGAGACTCAATGACACTAATGGGTATAATGATGTTTTAAAACAAACAAAATAACAGATAACTTATTGAAATATCCAAATGGTAGGAACAGGTAGCTCAGATATTCATACAGGCCGCCTGGAAATACAATCCATTGATTAAGATATTCTTATCATAATTACTAAATTGAAATTGAATTTGTAATCAATTTCTAGACTTTCATAAATCTACACTTCTTGAAGTATAAACAAATTCAAGAAATATCAATATTGAACAAGGTCCACACTGAATATAAGTTGCATTTTAAGCATCAAGACTGAACAATAAGTTTAATCCCTTAATAATATAAATAATCTAAATATTTGAAGAATGGGGTTAAGAAAATCAAGGTAATTTGGGTGAGATTATAATTCGTGGATGACCTTTGAGCAACACTAAGACGACCTTGAAAATGTTCACCTACTAACGAGGACTAAATGCGGTTTATAAACCAATTTGAGGAATTTAAATTATGATTTACAGTTTATAATTAAGGTTATGAATTAGATTTGGGGTTTTCATCACGAACTGACATTAGGGAAAATGCCAAAAACGCTATTTAGCAAATGGATAAGTGAATTTTGCACCAAAATCTGAGACCTGTTATCTTATACCTGATTGGTTCGTCTATAAATTATAGAACAATTTCTCGATTTTCATAACTTTTCAAAAACGAAAACAGAAAATTGAAATTAAGTAGTTTATTTGAAAGTTGAGGTTATGGCCCTTGAGATTTGACTTTAGTTAGATCGTATGAATGATTGTTATTGAAGTATACATATCATCAATCCTCGTATATAATGAATAACAAAATACGTAAATGAACTTTTGAATGTATATATTTTGTACACTCATTGATCTGGACAATGAGGAACAAAGCGAAACGAACTGATGCACAGTGAAGAATGCATATGAGCCAACTCGATTTCACCAAGCATTAATCAATATTTATAACCGAACAAAAGAATAAGTTACAAACATGTGATGCATAGGATAAGAAGTGCACACACACACACATACGCTCATATAATAACAATCAGGGTTGATAAGGGAATAATTAACAAGATCATAACATGACTCAAGAAGAATGAATAGATCGGCTTGTCCAGTAGCTGGAATGAGGAATTTAGGCTTAACCTATTAACCAACTGCATCATAGTTTTCATAAAGCTTGAAATAAGAATCATTCACTTATTAAATATTATGTAATAAACAGTATCGTGTGTACGGCTGCCAAAGAAAACTTCGATTCTTGGTCGACGATTATTATCACGCAACAAATCACAAGAGTAAAACCGTGACGGTTAACCCCCCTTGAACCCCTCCGGGGGCTACTGCCGGTCCCAAGCCCGGATAAAGGAGGAGGGTTGGGCATGGGGTTAGCGACCCCATCCCGTAGAAAGCGAACTCGCTAAAACACTCAAAACAACCAACATCAAATCATCAATAAACAGTATCATTTAGATTAAATTAGCCAAATCTAATACCTCTGGCTTATTATAAAATTATGATTAATTAAGTAGTAAAATTAATAATGAATAAAATATTTAAATAAAAACAATTAAAATGTTTATCATAATAATAATAATAAACAAATTAAAAATTATTTTTACCATTTGCCAAAATACATATATTACTATTATTAGTAGTAGTAATAGTAGTATTACCATGATTGCTATTATTATTATTATTATTATTATTATTATTATTATTATTATTGAAATGAATATAGAGGTCATTTATATAATTGAGTTCATTATTATAAATGACCTAGTCAAATAGTTGAATAAAGAATAAAATTTTAGAAAAATTATTCTGAAATGAAATGAAAAAAAAATTTGTTCATTTTTCACTTATAATCAATGATGCATGAAATGAAAAACAAAATCATAATCATTAATTCACAATTTAATTTTACAATCATTAAACACGATCATCATCATCATCATCATCATCAATGAGAATAAAATGTAGATCAAGCTAAAATATACAAGTGAAACTTGATTTTATTGTACAAGCAAGTGACTATCAATTGTCAATAGTTAAGTGGATGATCATGTGATGATATTTGAAGGGAATAGAACTAGGTTCGAATCCTGAAGTGAACAATAACTCTGAGATTAAGGTGTATCCAGCTGATGAGTCTTAAAATAGGACGAAATTATGCGTCAAACTAGATTTCATTACTAGCCATTATCTATCTTTTTTTTAAAAAGTCTATGAGTTAAGCCTATATTAAGGCAATCCTCACAGGATACACATATTCCAGTAAGAGACTAATTAATTGTAATTCTAAATAACAATGGGAAGATACAAATTAAACAATACCAAGTGA